TATATTGATTATGCTATTACAGTTGTCCAGTTTTTTTATCCCCATTATTCCCCATTGCTCTGCAACCTCCCACTACTGTATTACTCCCCCCCCCCCGCGCCGCCCCATACACACACTTAGTTTAAGTCCATGGGTTGTACATAAAGGCCTTTGGCTTCTCATTTCCTATACTATTCTTAACCTCCCCCTATTTTGTGCCTACCATTTATGTTTCTTATTTCCTGTACCTTTCCCCAGCCCCATTCTCCCTCCTCCCCCTCCCTGCTAATAACCCCCCATGTGATCTACACTTCTGTGATTCTGTTCCTGTTCTAGTTGTTTAGTTTTTTTTTGTAGGTTCACTTGTTGATAGTTGTTTGCGTTTGTTGTCATTTTACTGTTCATAGTTGTGATCTTTTTCTCACATAAATCCCTTTAACATTTCATTTAATAAGGGCTTGGTGATGATGAACTCCTTTAACTTGATCTTATCTGGGAAGCACTTTATCTACCCCTTCATTCTAAATGATAGCTTTGTTTAATAGAGTAATCTTGGATGTAGGTCCTTACCTTTCATGATTTTGAATACTTCTTTGAAGCCCATTCTTGCCTGTAAGGTTTCTTTTGAGAAATCAGCTGATGGTCATATGGGCACTCCTTTGTAGGTAACTGTCTCCTTTCCTCTTGCTGCTTTTAAGATTGTCTCCCTATCATTAATCTTTAGTAACTTAATTATGATGTATCTTGGTTTGTTTCTTCTTGGATCCAATTTCTTTGGGACTCTCTGAGCTTCCTGGGCTTCTGAAAATCTGTTTCTTTCACCAGACTGGGGAAGTTTTCCTTCATTATTTTTTCAAATAAGTTTTTGATTTCTTGCTATTCCTCTTCTCCTTCTGGCACCCCTGTGATTTGGATGTTGTAACTTTTAAAGTTGTCCTGGAGGTTCCTCACCCTCTCCTCATTTTTTTGAAGTTTTGTTTCTTCATTGTTCCAGTTGGATGTTTATTTCTTCCTTTGGTTCCAAATTGTTGATTTGAGTCCTAGCTTCCTTCTCTTCACTGTTGGTTCCCTGTATATTTTCCTTTATTTTACTTTGTATAGACTTCATCTCTTTGTTCATTTTGTGACCAAACTCAATCATTTCTGTGAGCATCCTGATTACCAGTGTTTTAAACTCTGCATCTGATAGGTTGTCTATCTCCTCATCACTTTGTTCTTTTTCTGGAGTTTTGCTCTGTTCTTTGGGCTGTATTTCTTTGTCTTGGTGCACCTGTTATGTTGTAAGGGATGGAGCCTTAGGTGTTCACCAGGGCAGGGCAATCCTTTTCACTCTGTTGTGGTGCTTTCTGTGGGGGATCGGTCAGAGAGGGAACAATCCCGCTTGCTCAGATCTCACCCCACTTGTCGTCACTTCCCACAAATGGATTGTGCCCTTTCAGGTGCTGATTCACAGGTGAGTGGGTTAGTGTACATTCTAGAACCCTGCGGGCCTCTGCAAAGGACTCTCTGGTGAGACTGGTAGTTTCTCCCGCCACTGCAACCCCCACAGATTTTTACAGCCAGAGGTTTGCATTTTTAGTTTCCTGCACCAAAATACTAGGTTTCACAGTCTGTCTCCCTCCCCAGTTGTTCTTCTTGGCCTATCCACACATGAATGTGGGGCTGCCCAGTCAGCCAGCCCACACCTCACCTGCACAGTCTGCCACCTTGCTGTGCATCCTCTCTCCCCCAGCTGCCCATCTTTGCCTCTTCTACCAGTCTTGATAAATATTTCTTATCTCCTTGGTTGTAGGACTTCCATGCAGTTTGATTTTCTGGCAAATCTGGTTAATGTGGACAAATCATTACATTTTTAAAAAAGTGAGTGAGCTGAATCAAGTCCATCATTTGGCTGGGTGCAGCCAATGGTATTCCCTCTTCTGGGACATTAGTGATGGTAGTACCAGGTAAAGACTCCTGGAAGTAAGGATCAACCCACAAAAAGAATCTACTTCACTTTTTACATTTTTTTTTTATTTGAGAGAGAGAGAGAGGGATTTGTTATTCCACTTATTTATGTATTCATTGGCTAATTCTTGTATGTGCCCTAACTAGGCATCGAACCCACTAGCTTGGTGTGTGAGGATGGTGCTCTAACCAACTGAGCTACCCCAAACTGGGCCACTTTTTTTCTTAACAACTATAGAGAATTAATTCCACTGTGTGGATGCATCTAGTTATTGTGACCCTTCCCCCAACTAGGAGACATTTAGGTTATTTACAAAAAGTGATCATCTGAGATGCTGAGACCCTTTGGGACAGGCCCAAATTCAACTTGTAAATGAAACCCTCGGGATTAACCCTTGTTTAATTAGTACTGAAAATTCTTCAATTTATTTGGCAGGAAAAAAAAAAGAATGATTGAAATGAAAAAAAACTTACCAAGTTGCCTCAAACCATGAAGCCTCCAGTCACTTTGACTGTCTGAGGTGATATTGTAGGACAGAGTTGTCAACTCCATTAAGAAATATGGGCTTCCTCCCAGCCTCCTCCCATGGGGCTTTTCTGTCATCTGACTAATGGGGTAAACACAAAATCTTTTTTTTTTAATTATTTATTTTTAGAGAGGGAAGGGAGGGAGAAAGAGAGAGAAACATCAATGTGCAGTTCCTGGGGGCTGTGACCTACAACCCAGGCATGTGCCCTGACTGGGAGTCGAACCTGCCACACTTTGGTTCACAGCCCGCGCTCAATCCACTGAGCTACACCAGCCAGGGCAAAATCTTTATAAATTAGTAACATGTATTTATTTTTATGGGTTGATTTTAGAGAAACTGAGAGGAGAGAGATCGATTTGTTATTGCACTCAATCATGCATTCAGTGGTTGCAGTTGGGTGATGTTAGTGTCTTCATTTTACAGAACAAAATAGATCTTTGTGGAATGATATAGAAAGGTCTCAGACACATAATTGCATTGAAGAAGGCAATTTGTAATGACTGTTCTCATCTGACGTTACTTATAGCAAAACCCAGCAACACGTGAATGAATGCCAGATGGTTTCCATGGATGAAAGATGTGTGTGTGTGTGTGTGTGTGTGTGTCAAGGCTCGCCAGATTCAAAACTGATTTAAAATAAAAAGCACATAGCCCTGGATGGGTGCCTCAGTTGGAGCATTGTCCTATATACCAAAAGGTTGACTCCCAGTCAGGGCATATACCTAGGATGCACATTAATCTCTGGTTGGGCCGTGTATGAGAGGCAGGTAATCTGTGTTTCTTGCTCTCTCTCTTTGTCTCTCTCTCTCTGCCTTTACTCTCTCTCAAAAAATCAATAAACATATCCTTGTGTTAGGACTTTAAAAAGAAAAAAGCAAAAGCACATAGATTAACAAGTTTATCAATGTTTCATCTGGTCACAGTGAGGGGGCGGGTAGGCGTGGCCTCTAGGCCACTCAAGTGCAAAGAGCTCTCATTCCAGCACCCAAGAGGCTTAAGCCCCCATACCCTGTAGCAGCCATTGAGTCCACCTGCCTGCAGGTTTCACTGGACTCCGAGGTTTTGGTCATTCAAAGTATTAGTTCTGAGCCTTGCTTTCCTCAGCTGAAATCCTGGGAAAAATAATGCTTTAAGTAGAAATTAATTCCCCACCTATTAATAAATATGTTATGTATTATATTAGTGTTAATAGAGCACCATTCTATATCATTTGCTATTATCAGCAGCAGATTGCTATTATCATCAATAATGAAATCCTAAGTAAAACATGACTAAGGTGTAGTGAGGCATACCTGGATAATGTGCCTACCTGATGGAAATCCGTTTATTTTCACAGGAATTCCAGCTGGCATGGGATGGGTGGGGAATTGTTCCTGATCTGACACAGGATTGTCCTCCTATAACTGAAAAGCCCTGCAGGGAGGGGGACACCTGGGTTGGTTTCTGCAGGGGCGGTTCTTGCCCCCATCTCTGAGGCTGAGGATCTGGGCCCTGCCTCTGGTCTGACCATTTCCAAGCCAGGAATCCAGGGCTGGGAGGGGCAGGTGGCCTCATACCTGCAGCAAGATTGCTGGGCCCCTGGGATTTGGATAAAGCATTCTTGCCCACTGGCCCCCAATGTTGACACTCATTTTGACAGGACAACTGGTACCTGTACCTTTTGCACCTGATGACTGTTTAAAATGACGTGAGTCTCAATTCAAATGTTTATTATGTATTTTTTTAACAGACCACTATGAGAAACTTTGGCATCTGAAGTGATGACTTTTATTCCCTAATGGTGGAAAAATAATTTTCTGTTCTCATGAACCACTTGGCAACTTCTACTGTTGCAGGGAAACCAGAGGCTGGGCGTAGGGGAAATGAGGACACCCAGAGATAGTGATAACCTGACCTCTGAACTAAATCCAGGCATGTGTGACAAGGGGAGAATGTCTCCATGGAGCCTACCTCCTGACTTCCTTTCTTCTCCCATTCCTCCATTTTACTATCTAGGAGATGAAGACCCAGAGACACTAAATGCATTGTCTAAGCTCTTACAGCAGTTTACTGCAGCTAGATGATGAGTCACAGTGCCCTGGCCACATGCCCAGATACTAGACCTATAGGGGGACTTCCTTTCCATATGGCCTTGTGGATGCACTGGAAGCAGCTGGTGTACATGCCGTGGCCTTTTCCCATATTGCTAAGATCCATATGGATAGGACCTCTATTGAGTCCTACCCAGGGGCTCCAATGTCAAGTATAGCATTGCTGCAAGCACTCAGAATCCATCTATTGGGTGTGGATTCTGAAATAGCATACCTGCCCCTTTCCCCCCAGCTACGTGTGCATCCTCCTCTGGTGTTGTGTGAGGTTGAAGTTCCGGCTGAAGGTTATCCCGCAGTTGCCACACTGGTAGGGCTTCTCTCCTGTGTGGATCCTCCGGTGTAGGGTAAGTGAGTAGTTCCTGACGAAGGCCTTGCCACACTGGCTGCACCTGAAGGGCTTCTCACCAGTGTGGATACGCTGGTGCAGGATGAGGTAGGCACCCTGGCTGAAGACCTTGCCACATTGGCTGCACTTGTAGGGCTTCTTGCCAGTGTGGCTGGCCTGGTGAGTAGCCAGGGACGAGGGCCTTGCGAAGTGCATTTTGCAGATGGAGCACTCATAGGGCTTCTCCCCGGTGTGTGTCCTCTGGTGCAGGATGAGGTGCTTGTTCTGACTGAAGGCCTTGCCACAGTCCGCACACACATATGGCTTCTCCCCAGTGTGCACACGCAGGTGCTCCATTAGTGAGGAGTTCTTGCTAAAGGCCGTGCCGCACTCCCCACACATGTATGGCTTCTCGCCAGTGTGTGTCCTCTGGTGCACGATGAGGTACTGTTTCTGGCTAAAAGCCTTCCCGCAGTCCCTGCATGCATATGGTTTCTCACCGGTGTGCACACGCCAGTGCTCTGTGAGCGAGGAGTTCTTGATAAAGGTCTTGCCACATTGGCTACACTTGTAGGGCTTCTCCCCTGTGTGGATACGCTGATGGATGGTGAGGCACGATTGCTGGGTGAACTGCTTCCCACATGTAGTGCAGGAGAAGGGCTTCTCGCCAGAGTGGATTTGTTGGTGCCTCTTCAGGGATGAGTTACAGCCATAAGCTTTGCCACAGTCCCCGCAAGCATATGGCTTCTCCCCGATGTGCAAGCGCTGGTGGATGGTGAGGCTCGATTGCCAGGTGAACTGCTTCCCACACGTAGTGCACGAGAAGGGCTTTTCCCCAGTATGTGTCCTCTGGTGCAGGACGAGGTGCATTTTCTGGCTGAAGGCCTTTCCGCAGTCCCCACACACATATGGCTTCTCCCCAGTGTGCGTCCTTTGGTGCAAGATGAGGTACGTGTTCTGGCTGAAGGCCTTTCCGCAGTCCCCGCATGCATACGGCTTCTCCCCAGTGTGTGTCCTCTGGTGCAAGATGAGGTTCCTCTTCCGGCTGAAGGCCTTGCCGCAGTCCCCACACACATATGGCTTCTCTCCTGTGTGGACACGCTGGTGGATAGTGAGGCATGACTGCTGGATAAACTGCTTCCCACAAGTTGTGCATGAGAAGGGCTTCTCCCCGGTGTGGATTCGTTGGTGCTTCATCAGGGAAGAGTTATAGCCGTAAGACTTGCCACAGTCCCCACACTTGTAGGGCTTCTTCTCTGCACAGAGTTTAGAAGAGGGACTGAGGCTGGAAGTACCAGAGTTCTTCCCACTCCTGGTGAACGGGTGCATCTGTGATTGTCTTGGTCCTCCCAACCTCTGTGGGGCTGGCATGGAGCTTTGGTGGACGAAAGACTTAAATTCATGACTTTCAGGGGCTAATGCTTCAGACGTGTCCAACTGCCCCAAACACGTCCCTGGGGCCTCCTGTCGACGCCCACCTTGGTCATAATCCTGGGCACCATTCCTTGAGGGTCCTTCCACCACCATGGCAATAGATGGTCTATCTTCCCAATCTTCCTCCTGTGGGTCTGATTCTTTCATGTCAGGTCTAGTCTCCAAGTCTGAGGGGAGGGGGAAAGATGATGACACACATGTAGTTAACAGAGCTGCGGGGGAGGGCCTTCCCAAGACAGGACAAGGCACAGCCTGAGAATAGGGGGCAAACTGTCATGTGGATGGAGAATGGAAGCAATAAGCTGTGACAGTGAGGTTGAAGAAGGTGAATAGGAAAAAAAAAAAGGGTGAATAGAGAGCAAGAAAGATCCCCTTGGGAGTGGAGACAAAGGCAGCCAGCAGAGCTTAGAGCTGGGTGGACATAACCCTGAAGAGAAAGAAGAAAGTGGACTTGGAGGAGCGGATCAAAGGATCCTACAAACCCAGTGAGAGTTCACTGCACCAGCCTCCCCGCTACCAGCACTCATCCTCTACTCTGTCAGCCACCTGTGATTCTCAAACCATTGAAGTTTATTACAAATGATAAAGTAACAGCTGACTCACTTGTGGATATGCTGGTTGTCCTCTGTCTCCGCACTGGCCAGCCAAGCTCCCACCATCCTATGCTGCCCAGGAGCGTCCTGGCCCTGGCAGCTGGCTCCTCATCCCTCCTATTTGCACACTCGTCCCCCACTGCTGAGCAGAGCCCCTCCAATCCCCTCTTGTGTTTGTTCCATGGGTTCTTCAATCTGTTTCTAGCCTAGTAGGTTGTCATGAGTTCCAGACTCTGCATATGGACCTCAGGTTCATCACAACATTTTATTTTATTTTTAAGATTTTATTTAGAGAGAAGGGAAGGGAGGGAGAAAAAGGGGAGAGTACAAAAGATCAGTTGCCTCCCACACGCCCCCGAGTGGGAGACCTGGCCTACAATCCAGGTATGTGCCCTGACTGGGAATCGAACCGGCAACCCTTTGGTTCACAGGCCGGCTCTCAATCCATTGAGCCGCACCAGCCAGGCAAAAGGTTTAAAAATCTTTTAAAAAGTGCAACTCCATACATTTCTACATCTGTGAATTGCATGCTCATAAGCTGTGTTCACATTTCTATCAATCATTTGGTCTTTTTCTCATTTATTCCTAGGAACTTTTTATATATTTACAAACCTCTGGTGGCCATACATGCGGAAAATATACTTCCCCACTTCATTACCTATCAAGTTCATTTTTAGCTTGAGTAATTTGAATGTCCTACCTAGTCAGATCTGTTCATCTTTTTTATTTCTGGGTCATCCTGAAGTGACAGGCAGATAGTAACGTGGTAAAGCTGCCCCCTTACCCAGCGAGACCAGGTTCCAGTAGTTCTCCATCATCACGTCCCTGTACAGGTCCTTCTGCACAGGCTCCAGCTGCTGCCACTCCTCCTGGGTGAAGTCCACAATCACATCCCTGAATGCCACCGACCCCTGTAAGAGGAAACACACACCACTCACCACAGGGCCCTCCTCACAGAGGTGGGAGACACAGCCATAAGGGCTGAGAGGATCAGGAAGGTACACAGGATGCACCTGACGTGGTGTTGACAAGGTTCGGAGCTCTGAAGGGCCTGACCACTCAGTGTCCTTGGTGCCTAAGTCACTAGATGGTCCTCAGAGGGACAAATAAACTATGGGGCTGTTCACCAGGACGACAAACAACCAATTAAAGAATGAAGAAAGGCCCTGAATAGACACTTATCCACAGAGGACACATAGATGACCAACACATATGAAAAATACTCAACATCACTTATCGTGACAGAGCGGCAAATTTAAACCACAATGAGATATCACCTCACACCTGTCAGACGGAAGCTCCATAACAAAACCAGAATCTAGTCAATTTCATCCTGACAGTTGCCTGAACAGCAGTAGCTCTAGGGGGCATTTGGGAAGCTGGAAGGTGTGGTCTGTGGTTGGGTCTTTGCGGGGAGATTCCAGGTGGGGGCAGGTGGGTCAAGACCTGAGGCTTAAATGGCAGACAGAGCACTGAGGACGCAATGCCATGACCCCGTGCATGAAATAAATGTGGCTCAGAGCATGGTGGACAATAATGCAATGATGACAATGACATCACCACTGCAGTAACACCTGTTACTAGGTGGTTCCTCTGTGCCAGGTTTTAGTCTAAGCCATGTTACCAGTTCAGTTTCATGTTGAGCTCCTGTGTTGAAGTGCTAACCCTCAGCTCCTTGAATGGGACCTGATTTGGAAATAGGGTCATTACAGGTGTATTGAGTTAAGACGAGATCACACTTAAGAACTGTGGCCACCTAGATAATGGGACATCTGTCCTTATAGAAAGGAGATATTTGGATGCAGAGACATGCACACAGGGACACACCATGTGAGGATGGGAGTTATGGTGCCATGATCCACAGGACCAAGAGAAGCTGGGAGAGACACTGGCAATAGACTCTTCCCTGGTTCATTCACCCAAAGGTGGTGGGTGTGATCACCGTGTGGGATGAGTAGAAGGTCAAATGATCAATGGTTCTCTCTCATATCGGTGTTTCTCCCTCTCTCCCTTTCTCTCTAAAATCAATAAGCATATCCTCAGGTGAGGATTAAAACAAGAATGAAAGACAGGAATGTTCAGAATAGGCAAATCCTGAGGCAAAGAGTAAATGACTGGTTATTAGGCATAGGGAGTTGATAGGAAGAATCTAGAGTGATGCTTTGTTTTCAGGGTGATGCAAACACAGGGTGGGGCAAAAACAGGTTTACACGTGTTGTACGGAAAAATATAGTAATTAATAAACCATAACATAAGAATAAACTCTGTTTCATGTACTCACAACTGTAAACCTACATTTTCCCCAGCCTGTATTCTGCAATTGAATGTGGCGATGGTTATACAACTGAAAACCAGTGAATTATACATGTTGTAGTGTGTGGGGTGTATCTCAATAAAGTGTTAGAGGACATGAGAAACCCAAGCTCATGGGTAAGGGAACTGACATGTTTATACAGCAAAACAAGTTCCAGGTGGATAGAAAAGATTCAAAATCCACTGAGCCACACCAGCCACGGCTGGACTTTAAAAAAATTATGCAATGCTTTTGGACTTAAGAAATATAAAGGTCTCTTGTTCAATACCCAGTCAGGGCCCATGCCTAGGTTGTGCTTTCAGTCCATGGTTGGGGCCTGTATGAGAGGCAACCGATTGATGTTTCTCACATTGGCATTTGAGAAACGCCAATCTCCCTCTCTTTCTCCCACCCTTTTAGTCCCTCTAAAAAATAAATAATTACAGTTGTGGGGGGAAAATAAAATAAGCTGAAAAACAAAAAGCAAACTAGGAAGAATATTCACCACAAAAATGTACATACTCCCTCACTCACACTCTTCTTTAAAACCTTCAAGAATGCTAAGATTCCTATAAACCAGCAAAGGATCGGATAATTTGCCCACCTGCAGAAATGACCAATAAACATTTTCTAAAAATCAAACCTCAGTAATACCACAAACAATGCTACTCGGAAAGAGTACACGTGATACATCAGTTGTCACCTACTATGTAGAAGGTTTATACCACTTGTCACTTACATCCAGTGAGCTGAATAAATACCCAAAGGCCAAAATGAAACAGTGGCAGCCCCTGCTGCATGTGCTGGGAGAATAACCTGTCCCAACCCAGAACTATGAAGACTTCTGAAAGCCCTTAACAATACCCACCTCCACCTTCCTCTGCAAGGAATCTCACTTAAAGAAATCATACAAAATGCAGGGAAATATTTCATGCCCAGCCCTGGCTGGGTGGGTCAGTTGGTTGAAGCATTTTCCCATACACTAAAAAGTTGCGGGTTCAGTCGTGGATTGGGGTGCATGTGAAGGCAACCCATTGATGTTTCTCTCTCAGTATGATGTAGCTCTCTCTATAAAAATCAATTAACATATCCTCTGGTGAGGTTAAAAAAAAAAGATTTATGCCCAGCAATACATTTAATTTATTGATTTGAGGGAGGGAGAGAATTTGTTTTTCCACTTAATTCATGTATTCACTGTTTGCTTCTGGTATGTGCCCTGACCAGGGATCGAACCCATAACCTTGGTGTATCAAGATGATGCTCTAATCGCCCTGGCTGGCGTAGCTCAGTGGATTGAATGCGGGCTGGGAACCAAAGTGTCGCAGGTTCGATTCCCAGCCAGGGTACATTCCTGGGTTGCAGGCCATAACCCCCAGCAACCGCACATTGATGTTCCTCTCTCTCTCTCTCCCTCCCTCCTTTCTCTCTCTAAAAATAAATAAATAAAATCTTTAAAAAAAAAGGAAAAAACCAAAATATTAAAAAAAAGATGATGCTCTAATCAACTGAGCTATCTAGCCATAGCCATATATATTTTTTATTGTAAAATATTTCTTATATAAAAGAAAATTTATAAAAATACCACAAATAAGCTTTGAACACAGGCAGTATTGTAGCCAATGAGGTTTACCTAAGGTGCGATTATTTTTAATTGAAAGCTTTCCTCTGGCTGGTGTGACTCAGTGGATTGAGTGCCAGCCTGCAAACCAAAGGATTTTCTGTTCAATTCCCAGTCAGGGCATATGCCTGGGTTGTGGGCCAGGCCCCCCCAGTAGACGTGTGAGAGGCAACAACACACAGATGTTTCTCTCCCTCTTTCTCCCTACTTTGTCTTCTGCCAAAAAAATAAATAAATAAAATCGTTTAAAAAAACTTTTCCCAATACCCCGCCATGACAACTAGAAATACAGTTGGCACTGACAATTTTGGGCAGTCTCTACAGAGACTGGAAAAAAAAAACCCCAGTAAAACATAAAATATCACGGTGAAAGCCAGGGTTATTATGGGTCCCTGCCCCCAGGCGTCCTCCTCCCACTCCTCTCCAGTCCCCTGGGCATTTAGTCTGCCCACTTCTGAGGGTCCCTTGTCCAGCACATGCTTCCCAGGGCCTCTGTCACAATTGTAGAATGGGTTTAATTGCCCCTTTCTAGGTGCATGCCAGAGTCTCCTGAGAGCTCCCTTAGTAGGACAGGTCACTCTTGACCTGCCCTGTCCCTTGTGGTTAACAAAAGCTAGTGTCAGGACAGTACCTTCCCTCCTGATGGTAGAAATAACCCCAGGAGACCAGGCCAAAGGCCTGGTCACCAAGGGGAACTGGGGGGTCATCCATGCACAGATGTTTGACTTTTAGGAAGGAGGTGCAAAAGAGTGTCATGACTCACCAGGGCCTTCTTGGTTAGCGGCTGGGTGGCCATCCTTTTGCTGACCATGGGGACCAGGAAACAAGCACGCTGTGTGCAGGAGCAGAAAGAGACAAATACAGTGAGAGACCAGGTCGAAGCTCAACCCACAATGCAGACAAGACAGACAGACATGCCCACTAGAAGACAGGCAGATAGGGTCATGCACACACATTCATACTGAATGCATGGGGGAGGCTATAGCATCCAAGGCAATGGACACCATATGATTTAATCATCCTGACATCCTACAAGGTGTGTACTATTCCCACTCACCCCATCTCACAGATGAGGAAACAGAGGCCCAAAGATATAAGCCACATGCCTGAGATGACAGAGCTGGGACTGGTGTTTGAATGACTAGGTCTGAGTCCAAGTGTTAGCTGTCTCTCAAGTGCACAACCCACACCTACACCCTGAGACTCCCCAACACGCACATGTACACCCATACTGACAGTCCCAAGACCTGGACGGAGGAACAGGACCCCCTTTACCCTCTCCATTGGTCTGAGTGCTAGCCCCAGAAGACACCTCAACACTGCCCCCATACTCTGGGTCTCCCGGAGATCTCATGGGGTTACTGTGAGGCTTAATGAACAGATACATGTAAGGAGCCTGGAGCCATATGGCACAAAGTAATACTCAGTTCGGCCCATGCCGGGTGGCTCAGTTAGTTGGAGCCTCCTCCTGTACACCAAAAGGTTGCAGGTTCAATCCCAAGTCAGGGTGAATACCTAGGTTGTGGTTTTGATCCCCTGATGCCTGGTGGAGTTGTGTACAGAGGCAACTGATGGATATTTCTCTCTCTTCCTCTCTCTGTAAAATCAATAAACATAAAAACGATGTTTATTGTAGCACTGTTCCTAGAAGCATAACATCAACCAATCAATGAACAAACAAGCCCTGGATAGGAGGATAGAAGACTGGGTGTCCAGTCTGAAATCCCAGGTTATCTCCAGGAAACAGGAGTTATGTCCTTCAATGAAGTGACTTCATGCTGTTTTAAGCAAAATTTAATTTTTTAAAAAGATTTTATTTATTTATTTTTAGAAAGGGAAGGGAGGGAGAAAGAAAGAGAGAAAAACATCAATGCGCTGGGGGCCGTGGCCTGCAACCCAGGCATGTGCCCTGACTGGGAATCGAATCTGTGATGCCTGGTTTGCAGCCTGCGCTCAATCCACAGAGCTATGCCAGCCAGAGCAGAATTTAATTTTCACAAATGTATTCTTTCTGAACTTGTGGTCTCTGACTCCTATTGCCACGGGGCAACAATACGGGCTCCTTTTGCTGGACATGGTACCACCTGAGCCAACTCAGGAGTTATAGTGGGCCAGTGACTCCTGACACCTGTAAGGGTACTAAATATAATTTCTTTTAAATTTGTAACAGAAAAAGCCCATCTAATCCAACCTGGACTGCATTTGTCCACACAGCAATACAGTCACAACTATAATTTAATCATTTAAAAGGAGGCCATGAAGGCACAGTGGCCCTAAAGTGACATGTGCATGGGGCAGGTGACCTCTGAACCCTGTGTGGCCTCAGATCTGTGGCTGCAGAGCCAGGGGTGGCAGCTGCTCCTGCTCCTGCTCCTCTGTCTAAGCTTTCTGGCATTTCTTTCTGTCCATTGTTTCTAAAGGGAAACAAGGATTTGCCATCTGTGGGGTGGTTAGGGTGGTGGCCCTGGAACCCGGATGCCTGGGTGTTGTGTTGGGAGATTCACTTAAAGTCTCTGAACCTCGGTTTCCCCATCTGCAAAATGGGGATGGTGAGGATCCCTACCTCAGAGTTACTGGGAGGCCTATGAAATGCCCAGAACCATACCCTGAGCACCCAACACACCCTCCCTGAACAAATCCACCCAGGTCAGCATGGGGCAGGGTCTCGGACCCTCTTCCTTAGCCCCACACCTGGCTATCACACACGTCCTGCCCTCTCACGGCCAGGGGGCAGGAAGAAGATGGGCTCTGGGGCCCGCAGGCAGGCAGCTCCACCAGGCAGCCTGTCCAGGAGGGCCCTGTTCTCCACGCTCTCGGGAGGGCACTCCCGACGCACCCACTCACCCGTGTCAGCAATGCCCAGAGACAGAGGCGCCGGTGCACACAGACAGGGTAAGGCTCGGGCAGGAGAGACGCACCCCCGCACGCACTGACACACTGACACCCAGTCCACAGGCAGGCGCGGAGGAAGAGACCAGACACAGGTGGACACCTGGATGGCGCTCTCACAGGGAGACACTGCGGAAGGAAACAAAGGCAGACACGCACACACGAAAGCACAGAGGGACCCCGGAGAGACAAAGACAGGCAGCTGACACACACAGGAGCAAAGGGGGGACACAGGTAGCTTCGGACACACTAGCGCTGACAAACACGGAGACACACAGAGAAGGCCTGGGAGTCTCATCCCAACACACAGACGCACGCACACACAGCCCCAGGGACCACTTTCATCCTCAGGACCCCGCCCAGACCCGCACACTTTACTCCCGGCCCCGCCCAGCCCGCAGCCGAACTCACCGCAGAGCAGGCTTTGCTCTGGAAAGTGATCCGGGCCCACTAGGCCCCCCGGCTCTGCGCCTGCGCTGACGGGTAATTATACTTCCCAGAACTCTGCGCGCCGCTGCCACACCCTCCGCTTGGGCCTCCCCGCCCGCCCGCCTGTCTTAGCAGGACGGACCACAACTCCCGGAGTGGAGGCTTTGCTTCCCAGACAACCCGGGGTACCACGATCCAGAAAGGATTCTTGAGGGATTAGGGTGAAGGGCGCGCACGGGAGCAGGGAGAGGGCCAGGCAGGAGCGGGGTGGGCGGAGGGAGTGAGGGACCTGGAACCGGAGGTGAAGGGGAGAGGGGTCCGGGAGACAGGGGCAGGGGTGGGGAGGCGAGGGAGCTGCACAGGAGGGAGGGGAAGGGAAATTCCAGAAAAAGTGGGGCACAGTTGGAGGCGGGAAAAGAAGCCGTAAGACCTCTGCAGACGTCCTGCCTCCAGACGGGGAACCTGTAGTAATGCTGACTTGCAGAAAAGTTGTAAAGCGTGCGGAGACGCAAATGATTGTAACCAGCAAAGAAGTACTAGCACTTCGTGTTATGTGCCAGCCCCTGTTCTGGGCGTGTTATAATTACAGAACCAAAGTGGGGGTTCTGCTGCCTGCCGCCCCCAAGAGGCAGACTCTAGGGGCAGAGGCTGGTGAGAAAGGCAAAAGGTTTTTTCATTCAGACGCTACAGGGCCGGGGAGAATGGCAGACTCTTGTCCCAAAGCCCATCCCCTCCGGCAAACCCGAGGAAAAACCCACCGTCCGCAGCCCAACCAGAACAGAAGGCCATGTCCAGAGTTCCTGCTTCCACTAAAATTACCGCCTTTTGGGAACCTTAGGTGCCGCGGAGCAGATGCCCAGGCACCTCAGCTCGCTTCTGGCTGCTGTCCAGTTTCAGGCTCCCTCCTGCAACCTGCAGGCCCCTACATCGCCCAGGCTGCTTCCAGGACCACGAGGTTCCACCAGACACACCGGCTAGTACACTCGCCAAGTGCGCAAGAGAGCAGCCCTTCCTTACTCTGAGTTTATACTAGTTTGAGGTGTGGGACGTTCTGAATGCCCAATGAACTTCTCAAAGTTCAGCATGCTCCGTTAGGGTCCAATCTGGGACCAGTTCCCTCTTTTCCCTGGGCTAGTCTGACCAGTCTTCCCTCCAGCACCATCCTCTGCCTACATTCTGTCTACTATGTCAACCCAGGTTCTGGTATCCATTTTTTTTTTTTTTAATTTTATGATCGGAGGTGAAAGGCAGAGAGGAGGGGAGGGAGAGAAACATCAATATATGATTGCCTCTTGCACGCCCCCTACTGGGGACCTGGCCCGCCTCCCACACAAGTGCCCTGACTGGGAATCGGACCACTGATCCTCTCAGGCTGTCGCTCAATCCACTGAGCTACACCAGTTGAGGCGTATCCAATTACCTTGATAGCCTTGTTAGCATTCAGTGCAATACTTCCTCGTGCTGTCCTCTTGCCCAGGGCAGGGGATCGATCACTAGGTGGTTAATACAGTAGCTTGGTTACTCAGGCAACGCACCCTGCCCACTGCCTTGCCAAGGCCTCAGTGATTGGAGATCTCTGGTGGACCTTCTGCCTGCCCCCAGCTGTACTCCCCTCTATGGGCGTTTGGAAAACATTTCTGTGGAAATAATTTACCCCCCCCCAAAAAAAAAAGAAACAAAGATTTGCCAGGATTCAGAATGATGATTACTGTGGCACTGAATAATTGGGAGAGTGCTGTAGTTATATGTGAATTATTGGCAAGGTTTCAGTTTTCATGTCAAAAGTTGAGGGTCACAGGAAGGACATTATTGTGTATTATAAAACTACAATATGGCTATATTTTATGCTAAGTCCAATCATAAACATTTGAATTCAGGCATTTCAGTGGCATTTTTTGGGGGGGATGACATGAAGCCTTGCAATTTAAAACTTTCTAAAAATCCTTACTTTTTCACATGATCAACTGTGTAAATTGTAAACCATGTTTGTTATTTTAGGATCACATTTGCTGGAGAGATAAGACAATCACCTCTTGTTAGGTTTGGCCTTGTATTATGCAGGTCTGGGGTGGTGCAAAGTCTTCAGGAATAAGCCCCTGGCATAAAAATCCAGCCATTCTGGAATTGGTGAATGAATGGATGGATGTGTTTGTTCTTCTCGAAGATCTGGTCACCAGGGAACTCACAGCTGCCTCCATCACTCAAGACACAGACATTCATAAAACATCCACTATGTGTTAAATACTCCAAGAGCCACCTGAGGTGTGTCTCCTTCCCCTAAGAGGATAATTTCCACCTTTTTAAAGAGCAGGAAGATTTTGGGGTCTGCTTAGAGCTTTTGATCAGCTAGACCCACTGAACTGTGGATCTTCCCTACATTTCCAACCTTACATGGAGTTGTTAGCCCAGTGGGTTTTGATGTTCCAAGCTCTCTAAAGAAACGGGAACTCATATTATAAATCTTTTTTCTTTATTGGTGTCTACCTTGCTTTCTTTAATTTCATGTCCATGACGGCAAAGAGTGAGTGAGCTGAATCAAGTCCTTCTGTTGCCTGGGTGCAGCCAGTGGCCTGCCCAGTTGAGTCACCCACGATCATGGAATCCCAGTTGGGTAAGACTCTGCAGGGAGACCACGCCATGGGCAGGGGATCTGTTCTTCCCACTATGGACCTGGCCCAGAAGGCAGGGCTGTATGGCACCAGGTAAAGACTCCTGTAAGGATCACTCCACAAGAAGTATTTACTTCATTTTTTAAAATTCTCATTTATTTGAGAGAGAGGGGGGGATTTGTTGTTCTACCCATTTATGAATTCATTGGCTAATTCCTGTATGTGTCCTGACCAGGGATGAAACCCACAACCTTGGTGTATCAGAGTGACTCTAACCAAGTCAGCTACCTGGTCATGGCCACTTTTTTTTTCTTAACAACTATAGAAAATTAATCCCACTGTGTGGATATATCTAGTTCTTATGATCCCTTCCACTAACTATCAGACACGTAAGTTATTTACAGAAGTGACCATTTGAGGTCCTGAGACCCATGTGGAGAGGCCCAAACTCAACTTGTAAAGGAAACCACAAGGATTTCATGAAACCACCCAGGGCACTCAGCTCCCAATGACCTTTTTGTTTCATTACTACTGAAAAGTTCTTCAGTTTATTCTGCAGGACAAAAGAATGATTGAAATGAAAAAAACTCACCTAGTTGCCTCAAACCTTGAAGACTCCAGTCACTTGGGGTGTCTGGGGTACAATGGAGAAGGGCAGAGTTGCCAAGTCTGCTCAGAGAATACAGACCTTCCTACCCCTCCCACAGGGTGTTTCTGTCACCTGACTCATGGGATAAGACTTCTAAACACAATCTTTGTAAATCAAGTAACATGTATTTTTTAATTGATTGATTTTGGAGAAACTTAGGGGAGAGAGATCAATTTGTTGTTCTACTCATTCATGCATTCATTGATTGTTTGTGACCTGACCTGGGATCGAATCCACCACCTTGGTAGATGGGGACGATGCTCCCACCCACTGAATCACCAGGATGGTCCCGGTTTGAGGTCAGGCGGGTAAGTACACTGTTCTCTGCCCACAGCACCATTTCAGTAAGTTAGCAACTGTACTGCAGTTAAGTAACATGTATGTGAATCAAGGGGGCCAGACACAGAGAGCACACAGTGAATGATAGTAGTCAGAGCCGTTATGTTCCGTTCGGAGGGCCCAGTTCACAGATATGTGACCAGGATTCTAAGGGCTAATCCACACCAAGTACTTAGGACAGACCCAAAGAAGTGCAGTTAGTGGTATTGTTGCTGTGGGCTTTTAAAAGGACCCATCAAATTTCTAAAACACAACAGAAGCTTTAGAATATATAGTAAAAATAGCGAAGGATTTATTCATTACAAATTTTTTATTCTTTTATTGTTTCTAGTGAGAGAGGGAAAGGTAGGGAGAAAGAGAGGGAGAGAATCATCAATCAGAGACAGAAACATCAATTGGCTGTCTCTTGCTGGATTCATGACCAGGAACCAAACCCACGAACCAGGCATATGCCCTGACTGGAATAGAACTGGTAATCTTTCGGTTTGTGAGATGATGTTCAAACAACTGAGTCACACTGGCCAGGGCAAAAATAGCTAAGGCTTTAGAGCACCATGATCCAATGCAGTAGCCAGAGGTAACTATGAAAATTTAAATGAATTAAAAACACCAGGGCACATACAAGAATCAACCAATAAATGCATAAATAAGTGGAACAACAAATCATATCTCCATCTCTCTCCCTTCCTCTCTCTTTAAAATCAATTAAAATTAAACAGGTAAAATTTTAGTTCCAAGGCTGCACCTGCCATATGTCAAGTTCAATGCCCCTTGTAGCCAGTGGCCCCCATATGGACAGTACAGACAGAGCTTTCTGTCCCTGCAGAAGTGCTGGGGGCAGCCCTGCTCCAGCAGGTCCCAGCACGTGTTGTAGGAACCGTGTGTGAATTAGCTCAGGAAACCCACCTAACACCACAGGGCAGGTTCCCTTACTCAATCTCCTTACAGACGAGGATACGGGGCTCAGAAAATGCCCGCACTGGTCGGAGCACACAGCTGGGGTGTGAGCCTGGGCAGACCTGGTGCCAGAGTTCCTGCTCCCAACCCGTTCTAGTCAGTCACCCACTTCTTCCTGATCTTGCAGTGCTGCTGGAGCAATTCCCCTTCCTTTTACCTCATCTTCCTCCTGCCCCTTTCCTTCCTTCCTTTTCTTCTTTCCCTTCTCTTCTGCCCCCTCCTAGCTCCTCTCCCTTCACTTGTCCCTGCCCACCATGTCCCAAGCTGGGGTGGAGAGACTGGGGGAAGAAGTGGCCACATCCTCCCTGCCACACAAGAGCAGACTGAGCTCTCCCCAGGACAGAAAGGTGCTGGAGCCCCACCCACACGCAGCAACCATTGAATCCCTTGGACACGTTCACGGGCTCCGGGGTTTTCCTGGCAGAAAGCATCAAAGCTCTCAGCCTTAGTTTCCACAGTGGAAATCCCAGGATAATAACAGGACTCTAAGTAGTAGTTACTGACCTATTTATTAATAAATACTTTGTTATTTTGTCCTTTATAAACCACCATTCTTATATCATTTGCTATACATTATTGCTAATATATCGCTCTCATCAATAATGATGCATAGATTGGATAGCATGCCTGTCTGACTGAAGGCACCTTATTTTTGCAAGAATTCCAGTCAGGAGGGGGTGGGTGGGGGACAGACCATGATCTGAGAGAGGATTCTTCTCCTGAAACTGAAAGAGCTCTATGGGGAGGGAGGCTGATTTGCAGGTTTTTTGGGGGGGCCCTTTCCCTCATCTCTGAGACTGAGGATCTGGGCCCAGACTTCTGGTCTGAGCATTCCCAAGCCAGGAATCCAGGGCTGGGAAGGCCATGTGGCCTCATATCTGGGGCAGGATTGCTGGGATGCTGGGGAACCAGTGGGGAATTCGCACCTCCACCCACCAAGCGTTGACACTCATTTTGACAGGACAAAGGATAACTGTACCTTTTGTACCTGCTGACCGTTTAAAATGATGTTAGTTGCTGTTACATAAAAGTTTTCTTTAAAAAGAATTTAACATATCACTATGAGAATCTGTGGCAACTGAAGGAATTACTATTACACCTTAAGTCTGAAAAAAATTCTTTTTCCATCATGAACCACTTGGCAACTTCAACTGGTACAGGGAAACTGGGGGCTGGGTGTGGGGAAAACGAGGACACCCACAGATGGCAACACCCTAATCTCTGGACTAGATTTAGCCCTGTGTGACAAAGGGAGCACGTCCCCATGGAGCCCACCTTCCCTTCTTCCTTTCTCCTCTCCCTCCTATGCTTTACTATCCAGGAGCTGGAGACCAGAGACACTACATTGGTGCAGACAGAATAGTTTACTTGATCTTGTTCTGGAGCCATAGTGCCCTGGACACGTTCCCAGGTACTAGACCTGTATGGGGGCTTGCTTTCCACAGAAGTGTAAGCAGCTGGTGTGTATGGTGAGGTCTGTCCCCAGCACCCACATCTCTAAGACCTAACTGCGCAGGACGTCTCTTGCATCCTAACAGTAAGTTCCAATGTCACCTCTGTCACTGAGGCACGAGCTCAGGCCCCGCCCATTGGGCGGGGATTCTGAGATCCCACAAACCTTCCCCAGCTCCACCCCTACTGGTGCATCCTACCAGTGCATCCTCCTCTGGTGTCGGGTGAGGTTAATGTTTCCGCTGAAGGTTTTTCCACACTTGCCGCACTCATAGGGCTTCTCTCCTGTGTGGGTCCTCCGGTGGAGGGTGAGTGAAAAGTTCCTGATGAAGGCCTTGCCGCACTCACCGCACCTGTAGGGCTTCTCACCAGTGTGGATGCGCTGGTGCTCAATGAGGTAGGCGCCCTGGCTGAAGGCCTTGCCACACTGGCCGCACTTGTAGGGCTTCTTTCCAGTGTGGCTGGCCTGGTGTGCCACCAAGGAAGAGCGCCCAGAGAAGTGCATCGGGCAGAGGGAGCACTTGTAGGGCTTCTCCCCGGTGTGCACATGCTGGTGCTCCCTGAGCGAGGAGTTCTTGCTAAAGGCCTTGCTGCACTGGCTGCACTTGTAGGGCTTCTCCCTGGCGTGGCTGGCCTGGTGTGCCACCAGAGATGCACGTGCAGCGAAGTGGATTTGGCAGATGGAGCACTCATAGGGCCTCTCCCCAGTGTGCACACGCCAGTGCTCCTTGAGGGAGGATTTGTGGCTGAAGGCCTTGCTGCACTGGCTGCACTTGTAGGGCTTCTCGCCAGTGTGGCCTGTCTGGTGTGCCTGCAGGGACGAGCGCGCCACGAAGCGCTTTTGGCAGATGGCGCATTCATATGGCTTCTCCCCGGTGTGCACGCGCAGATGCTGCGTGAAGAAGAAGTTCTTGTTGAAAGTCTTGCCACATACACTACACTCAAAGGGCTTCGCCCCCATGTGGATGTGCTGGTGTTCGATGAGGCAGGCCTTCCAACTGAAGACCTTGCTGCACTGGCTGCACACATACGGCCCCTCACCCTTACGGGACCCGTGGTGCAGCATGAGTGAAGAGCTCTTGTTAAAAGACTTGCCACAGTCTCCACACTCAAATGGCTTCTCCCCAGTGTGCGTCTGCTGGTGCTCCATCAGGTGCACGCTCTGGCTGAAGGTGCACCCACACATGGTGCACTTGTAGGGCTTCTCCCTGGTGTGCGTCCTCTGGTGAATGATGAGGGTCACACTCTGACTGAAGGCCTTGCCGCAGTCGCTACATGTGAATGGCTTTTCCCCAGTGTGTGTCCGTTTGTGGTTCCTAAGGTGCACGTCTTGGCTAAAGGCACGCCCGCACACAGTGCACACATGCGGCTTCTCCCCAGTGTGTGTCCTCTGGTGCAGGACGAGGTGCATTTTCTGGCTGAAGGCCTTTCCGCAGTCCCCACACACATATGGCTTCTCCCCAGTGTGTGTCCTCTGGTGCACGATGAGGTGCTTCTTCCGGCAGAAGGCCTTGCCGCAGTCCCTGCACGTGTACGGCTTCTCCCCTGTGTGCATGCGCTGGTGGATGGTGAGGCACGACTGCTGGGTGAATTTCCTCCCACACGTGGCACATGAGAAGGGCTTCTCTCCAGTGTGGATTCGCTGGTGATTCTTTAGGGATGAGTTATAGCTGAAAGCCTTGCTGCACTCCACACACACATAGGGCTTCTCCCCTGTGTGTACCCGCTGGTGGATGGTGAGGTAAAACTGCCGGGTGAACTTCTTCCCACAAGTGGTGCAAGAGAAGGGCTTCTCCCCAGTGTGGATTGGTTGGTGCTTCATCAAGCACGAGTTATATCTGAAAGCCTTGCCACAGTCCCCACACTTGTAGGGCTTCTTCTCTGCACAGAGTTTGGAGGGAGCATGGAGGCTTAAAGTCCCTGAGTCCTTCCCACACGTGGTGAATGTGTGCATTCCCACTCCTTTCAGTTCTTCCGATCTCAGTGGGGCCGGCTTGGAGCTTTGGTGGACAAATGCCTTAAATTCACAACATTCAGGGGCTAATGCTTGGGACATGTCCAACTGCTCCAGACAGGTCCCTGGGCTCCCCTGTGGACACCCCACCTGGTCACGCTGTGTCCCAGCCCCTTCACAGGTGGAACCATTCTTCAGTGATTCTTCTGCTACCACCACAACAGATGGTCTGTCTTCCAAAACATCATCCTGTGGGTTGAATTCTTTGATGTCAGGTGTAGCCTCCAATTCTGAGGAGAGGGGAAAAGAGATGACGACACACATGTAGTTAACAACACTCAGAGGGAAGACCTTTCCAAGATGGGACAAGGAACAGCCTGAGAGCAGGGGAGAAACTGTCGTGGGGACAGAGGGAGAAGGGAAGCAGTGGGCTGAGACAGTGAGGCTCAGAAGTGAGCAAGAAATGTCTCCCTTGGGAGTGGGTGCAAAGCTGCCCAGGGGAACTCAGAGCTGGCAGACAGAAGCCTGGAGAGAAAGAGCAGGAAGGCGGGCTTGGAGGAGCTGATGGAGGCCCCCACAAACCCAGTGAGAGTTTACTGCTCACAGCAGCTGGCTTCCAGGCCTCCTCCTGTACTCCACCAGCCACCTGTGCTTCGCAAACCATTGACATTTATTACAAACAATAAAGTAGAGCTGACTCTCATGTGGATGATGCTGGTTGTCCTCTGTTGCCCTACCGCCAGCCAAGCTCCCACCTTCCTACACTGCCCAGGAGCAGCCTGGCCCTGGCAGCTGGGTCCAGACTCCTTTTTGCACATTCATCCCTCTGTGCTGACCACAGCCGCTCAGTCCCCTCCTGAGTGTGGCCAGTGGATTCCTCATCTCTGTTTCCAGCCTAGGGGCTGTCCTCAGTTCTAGACTCTGTACCTGGACATCAGGGTTCCTCCCAACATTTAAAAATTGTGAGATCTTACACAAAAATCTCATTAAAAACAGAAAGATCTGTATCTGGCTGGTGTGCCTCAGTGGACTGAGTGCCGGCCTGCAAACCAAAGGGTGGCTGGTTGGATTCCCAGTCAGGGCACATGCCTGGGTTTCGGGCCAGGTTCCCACTAAGGGGTGCGTGAGAAGCAACCATACGTTGATGTTTCTTTCCCTCTCCTCCCTCCCTCCCTCCTCCTAAAAATAAATAAATAAAGATCTCTTAAAAAAATAATAATAAGAAGAAGATCCAGCCACTTGGAGCCCTCCTTCCTTGGAGGCAACAAAAAAAATGGGAGTCGTAAGCAGCTGTTCCCATTCCCAAATTTATGCCACCACAACCCTGGAGTTTGCGTCCTCTGCCTGAATCAGGGGAGCCCAGATTTCAGTCCCTTCTTTATGCTGACCCCTCCTAAATGGATGCCCCATCCCAGACCCCTTCTGAGCTCTGCTGAGAAATAATCTGAGGCCTACTGGGCGCCCCTCTTGGGTATCACAAACCTAATGCATTTGATGTGAGACTGTGATTTTGGAATCTCCAGCCCCAAATAATAAGAAAGGCTCATCAAACAGACTTAGCTGAATAAGTCAGATACACAATGACCGATACTGTATGATTCTGTTCATGTGAGGCAACTAGAATTGTTGAATTGATAGAGACAGAAAGGAGGACATGGGTGCCCAGGCTTCATGAGGGGGTGAGGAGTTGTTCGGAGGGGACAGATTGTCAGTTGGGGACAATTAAAAGAGTTTTTGAGATGGATGGTGGTGATGGCTGACCAACAATGTGAATGTACTTCATGTCACTGCACTGTACACCTAAAAATAGTTAAATGGTCAATTTTATGTTATGCATATTTTGCAACCATTAAAAAAGTAAAAATTTTTTAAATTAAAAAAAAGAAAAGATTCACTAGTCATCCTTGGCTCACCCCTTCTCTCCCACCGCCCAGATTGTTAACAAATGCCACCGCACAGGAGAACACCTTGAATTGGACCAGACTGATGCACCACCACCACTACAGCTGCGATGCAGCGGCCTCCCCCACTCTCTACAACCCACTGTCCACTCTGAAGGAAGAGGAGCTCAGGAGTCAGACTTAACCCTCTAGCACCTTCCCAGTACCCAGGAGCCAGACACAACTCCTTTCCCACTATCCCGACTCCTCTCCACCATCCAGCCCTGCTCGTCTTCAGTTTCCTTTGATTTTCTTGTCCATGCCCAGTGCTTCCTGCCTCAGGGCCTTTCCACCTATTATCCCCTCTGCCTTCCCATGGGTGCTCATCCTCGAGCTTCAGTGAACCTTTGTGCCCCACAGGGAGGCCTTCTCTGTCCACCCTATTGTGGAAAGCAGCTCCCGCCTGCCACTCTCATGCTTGCATCATTGTGAGTGATCATTATGCGCTCTTCCCAGATCTGCGCACTGACAGATCCAGCAGCAGGAGGTGAGCTCCGTGAAGACAAGGTCACACCAGTCTTCCACAGCTCCCACAGTGTCCGGCACATGGGAGGCATCTCATAAACTTTCACGGAGCATTAGTCATGGACTGACATGGTACAAAGCAGCCCTCACCGCATGCAAGTAGGTGCTGGTAGGATTGTATCCATTTTACAGACAGGGAAAACCAAGGCTCTGAGAATGGAGCCACACCCTCAAGGTCACCCAGCACATGGTCCATGGTCCATGACACAGTCTAATCCCTAAATCACTATGTGGCCATGTGTCACTGTCCCATTCCAGGGGAAAACATTTGACATATACATTAGGTAGAAGAATGATCCTGGTTTTGTGGCCATGAGGTCTGGGAGATGCTGGGTGTTAGGCCAGGTGGTGGATTGGGACATGGAGGCTGAGGGCAACTTTATAGAGGGAAAAGGTAAGAAGGGTGATGGTGGGTGTGTTTTGGGGCCCATGGGTCTGAGGCAAGCTGGGGACAGAACTGGCCTGTGGCTGCAGGGACTGAAGAGAGAAGTCTTGGTTGTGAATATGGTCCGAAACTGGACTTCAGCAAATTGCAAACTTCTGCTCAGGCACAAGATGGTGCTGGGGCACCTGTGTGCACACATCCAAAGGAGGCAATGTGACTTCGGGTGGGAGGCACACAGTGTAGCATATAGATCGTTTATCCTATAAATACACACTTGAAATCTATACGATCCTATTAGCCAATGTCATTCCAATAATTTAATTTAAAAAAACAGTGATGTGAGCCCCTTTTAATCATTCACAGCAATTAACTGAAAATAAACGGAAGGCCTGAATAAAGAGCTAAAATTCTAAAACTCAGAAAAAACAGGAGTAAATCTTCATGGCCTTTGGTAGGGCCAATGGTGCCTCAGATATGATACCAAAAGCACAAGCAACATCAAAATAAACTGGACCCCATCACCATTAAAAACATTTGTGTTCCAAATGATGCCACTGAGGAAGAGGAGTACCACAGAATGGGAGAAATAGTTACAAAGTACATATCTCATAAAGAACTGCCACCAAGAATTAACAACAAAAGAATATACAAAGAACTTTCAAAACTGAATAATAAGGAAACAAACAACCCACTAAATAAACAGGCAAAAGACTTGAACCAGATACTTCACCAAAGAGAATATACTGACAGCAAAGAAGCACCTGGAAAGGTTCTCAGTACCAGCTGCAAGCTGGAGTGGGGTAAGACTGCATACCCACGAGAATAGCTGCAGTGAGAGAGACTCAGCATGTTCAGTTCTGACAAGCACAGGGAGCAATGCAATTTTGGCTGAATGCTGGTGGAAATAAAAAACAAGACATCTGCTTTGGAAAAAGTTTGGCAGTTTCTGAAAAAGTTAATTATGTACCTACATATGACCTAAACATTCTCAACAGAAAGGACAGCATGTGTTTGAAATTCTAGAATAGGCAAATTAAGCCACAGTGACAGAAGGCACGTCAGTGTTTGCCAGGAGATGGAGAGTAGGGAAAAGGAAAAAGAAACGTTTTAGGCTAATGGATGCATTCAGATCACGGCAATGCTTTCCTGGGTGTGGAAGGTGGACCCCTGCCCCCCAAAATAGGAATAGTCTTTTGGAGGGCAGGCCCCTAGTAGTGCAGGCTTCCCCTAGGTGAGTGTTCTAGGAACCCAGCTGTATCAGTATGCCGGCTGGCATTGTTGTGTGAAGATGCATTTGGCTTCAGTGAATTTTTTCTGAAGACTCCTTGAACAAGTTTTTCCGTTTCATGATGGGTGATTTATTAAAGTAGCCTGACCCAGTGCCACACCCTCCCTCTTCACCTGATTTTGCTTTAAGTGGTTTCTTTCCCTGGATGAGAAAAGTCCTCAGAAGGAAATGTCTTGCTGATGTGGAAGAGGTGAAACAAAAAATGGCAGAAGCCCTAAAAGGTATAAAAATTGATGAGCTCAAAAACTGTTTTGAGTCCTAGCTGGTACAGCTCAGTGAATTGAGTGCTGGCCTGGGAACTGAAAGGTCACTGGTTCGATCCCCAGTCAGGGCACATGCCTGGGATGCAGGCCAGGGCACCAGCTGGGGGGTGTGCGAGAGGTAACTTATCCATGTTTCTCCCCCTCTCCTTCTCCCTCCCTTCCCCTCTCTCTAAATGGAATAACATCTTTAAAAGAAAAAACTGGTTTTTTAAAATTATTTTTTAAAGATTTTATTTATTTATTTTTAGAGAGGGAAGGGAAGGAGAAAGAGAGAGAAAGAGAGAGAGATCAATGTGGGGTTGCTGGGAGCCGTGGCCTGCAACCTAGGCATGTGCCCTGACTGGGAATCAAACCTGTGATGCCTAGTTTGCAGCCCACGCTCAATCCACTGAGCTATGCCAGCCAGGGCAGAAAAAGCTGTTTTGAGCAGTGGATAAAAGTCATGATAGTGTATTGCATCAAATGGAGAGTGCAGTGAAGGTGACTGAAGTTTAAACAAGTAAGAGTAAAGACACAACTTTTTATAAATAAATTCCGATTCCTTTTGGGTCCTCCCTCTTATACAGATATCAAAATGCATCAAATTGTTCACATTAACTATGTGAAGTTAATTGTAGGTCAGTTAAACCTCCACCAAAGCTGTTAATGAAATGAGACCGTACTCCAGTTCTGAAAGTTGGCATTTTTCCTGAACAATGTTATCCAGGGACATCTGTGTCAGTGACTACAAAGGGCGCTCACTGTTGAAGAGCGCCGTGATTTCCATCATATTGCTACACCCCGATTTGTTCTGGCAGTCTCATAGGTGGGCAGCTAGGGCATTTCTTTAGATTTTTCTTCCTTTGAAAAATCTGCACATGTATAGGAAAAATGTTAAAGGATATATTCTAGAAATGGAATTGTTTAAAATTTGGTTGATAATGCCAAACTGTCTTCCAGAAGAGTTGCCTCAACTTCATGCTCCTAAAATGAAGAGGCCCTTTCCCTACACCCTCATAATACAGGATGCTGTTACTCTTTCTTTTTTTAAGACTCACCTGAGTATTTGCTTATAGAGGGAGTAAGGGCTTGGGGGCGAGAGGAGGAGGGGAAGAGAAATACTGATCAGTTTCCTCCTGCATGTGCCCGAACTGGGGATCAAACTCACAACCTAGATATGTGCCCTGACCGGGATCGAACCTACAATCTTTTGGTGTATGGCACAACACTCCAACCAACTGAGGTAGCCAGCCAGGTTTGTTTTCTTCTTCAGCTCTGTGTCCTGCACAAGCGAGAACTGTATTAATGAGAATCAATTGGTACTTCTTTAACTATCAGTACGATTTAAACATTTTTTATAAAGTCTAACTCCATGCATATCTACATCTACAAATTGCATGCTCATAAGTCTGGCCCAACTTTCCATCATTCATTTGATCTCTTTCTTATTTATTTTCAGGAGCTATTTATGTATTTATAATCTTCTAACTTTCATACATGCAATAAATTCTCTTCCCCACTTCATCACCTATTAACTTTATTTTTAGCTTCAAGTCACTTAAATGTCTTACCTAGTAACATCTGTCCACCTTTTTTTTTTTATTTCTGTGTCATCCTGAAGTGACAGAGTTATCAATAACAAGAGGAAGCTGCCCCCTTACCCAGCGAGACCAGGTTCCAGTAGTTCTCCATCATCACATCCCTGTATAGGTCCTTTTGTGCAGGCTTCAGCTGCTGCCACTCCTCCTGGCCAAAGTCCACAATCACATCTCTGAACGTCACCAACCCCTGTAAGAGGATGTGCACACCACTCACTGCAGGTCGGGAGAACAGGCCAGAAGGGCTGAGAGGATCAGGAAGGCACACAGATGCACCTGACGTGGTGTCCACAAGGTGTGGAGCTCTGAAGGGCCTGGCCACTCAGTGTCCTTGGTGCCTAAGTACACTGGATGGTCCTCACACAGGCAAATAAACTACAGGGCTGTTCACAGGATGGCAAACAACACAATTCAAAAATGTGCAAAGGACCTGAATAGACACTTCTCCCAAAGAGGACACACAGATGGCCCATGGACATATGAAAAAATGCTCCACATCACTAATCATCAGAGCTGAGAATTAAACCCACAATGAGATATCACTTCACACCTGTCAAACAGAAATCACTTCACACCTGTCAAACAGAAACCCCTGTAACAGACCTGCAATCTGGGCAATACCATCGTGACAGGTCTGAGGAGCTGAAGCTCTTGGGAGTGTCTGGGAAATTGGAAGATATGTTATGTGGTTAGGTCAATGGAGGGAGATTCTAGGTGGGGGCAGTTGGGTCAAGACCTGAGGTGTAAATGGCAGACAGAGCACAGAGGACACAGACACCATGACCCTATACATGAAATGAACATGGCTGAGCATGCACTAGACGATGACGAAATGACAAGATGACAATGTCATCACTACAGCAGTAATGACACCTGTCAGTCAATACGCAGTTACTCCATGCCAGATTTTAAGCCATGTTACTGGTTCAGTTTGTGTTGAGTTCCTATGTTGAAGTGCTAACCCCCAGCCCCTTGGGATGGGACCTGATTTGGAAACAGGGTCATTGCAGGTGTATTGAGTTAAGATGAGGTCACACTGGAGAAGGGTGGCCCCTAAAGAGACAGGACTGATGTGTGTGAGCCCTGGTCTGTACACCTGTGATTATATCCTGGCTTGGATCCCTCTGTGGTCTGGGTACATGCAGAGGCAACCAATTGATGCTCTTCTCGCATGGATGTTTCTCTCTCTCCCTTCCTCAATCTCCCCCTCTCTCTCTCAAAAAGAAAGAAAGAAAGAAAAGAAAAGAAGAAGCAAATGAAAATGTCCTCAAGTGAGGAATAAAATAAATATCAGAAAACATCCTCTTCTGAGGATAAAAATTAATATTTATGCCCAGCTATATATATATAATTGATCTGAGAGAGAGATTTGTTATTGTACTCATTGATGCATTCAGTGGTTGCTTCTTATATATGCCCTGACCAAGAATCAAACCTGGACCCTTGGTATATCAAGATGATGCTCTAACCAACTGAGCTACATGGCCAGGGTCATGTATATATTTATTATTGTAAAGTATTTCTTGTATAGGAGGAAATTTAGAGAAAAATACCACAAATAGCCACCCATTAAAACATCATAAAACATCACAGCGATCAGGGATGTATACGAGTTCCTCCCAATGGCCCCCCTCTGCCCCCTGGATGTTTAGTGCCATCTGCCCAGTTCTGAAGGTCCCTCATCCAGCACGTGCTGCCTGAGGCCTCTGTAGGAGCCTTTGTCACACCTGACCAAACATGTATAAGCCCCCACTTCCCAGGTACCTGCTGGGGTCTCCTGAGAGCTCCCAGGGTAGGACAGCTCACTCCTGAGCTACCCTGTCCCCTGTGGCTGACAAAAGCCAATATTACGACAGTACCCTCCCGCATCAAAGAGTACAGAGACCCAGGAAACTGGGACTGGGCCCTGAGGGGAGTTTGGGTGTGCAGAGGGTCATCCCAGTCCGGGAGCCTGATCCTTAGGAAGGAGGTGCAAGAGGGTGAAATGACTCACCAGGGCTTTCTTGGTCAGCAGCTGGGTGGCCATCTCTCCACTGCCCATGCAGACCAGGGGATGGGCAGGCTGTGTACAGGGGGAGAAAGAGAAAGGCACAGTGAGAGGCCTGGTTGAGGCCTGACCCACAAAGCAGACAGGACAGACAGACACACCCACTAAAAGACAGGCAGACAGGGACAGGAATGCACATTCATAACCAACACCTATGGCATCCAAGGCACGTGACAAACGTCTCTGATTTAACCCTCCTCACACCCTACAAAGTGGGGGCTATTTCCACTCACCCCATTTCACAGATGAGGAAACTGAGGCTCAAAGAGATAAACCAGTTGCCTGAGACTACAGCTGGGATTGGAGTTGGGCTGAGTACATCCAGGTCCATATGCTTGGTGCACAGGTCATACCCACACACTGACATTCCCCAACACACACACTCATGCGCACACTGCCAGTCCCACCACTGGGAGGAAGAGGACCCTCTGCCACCTCCCTGGGTCTGAGTGCTGGCCCCAGAACACACCCCAGCACCACCGCCAGCCCCAGGGCTTCCACAGATCTTGTGGGGTTATTGTGAGGCTCAATGAACAGATACATGTAGGGAGCCTGGAGCTTGTGGCACACAGTTAATAACTTGGTCCTGCCCTGGCAGAGAGGCTCAGCTGGAGCGTTTTCCAGTGCACCAAAATGTTGTGGGCTTGATCCCTGGATGGGACGCATATGGGAGTCAACAGATCCATATTTCTCTCTTTCTCTTTAAAATCAACAAATATACAAACGATGTTTATTGTAGCACTGTTCCTAGAAGCAAGACACCAACCAACCAACAAGTAAACCATAAATAAGGGGTATAAGGCAGGGCAACCAGTCTGAAATTTCAGGTCACCTCTAGGAAGCAGGAGTTATGTTATGTCCTTGGGGACAATGACTTCGTGATTTTTTAAACAGAATTTACTTTTTACAAACGTATTCTTTATGGACTTGAGGAATCTGACTCCTATCCCTGCACCACGACACGCACACAGAGGTGCACACAGAAAGACACCCCGGAGAGACCAAGACAGCCAGCCTATACACACGCGCGCGCGCACACACACACACACACACACACACACACGCGAGCAAAGATGAGGCACGGGAGACCACCTGGACCCAGGCGGTGACAAACACGGAGACACACAGCAACAGCTTGGGAGTCTCAGCACGAAACACACACACAAAAACACACACAGCCACAGGCATCACCTTCACATGCACAACCCTCCCTGATCCTCACCTCATCCCGAGTCTACACTTCCCTTCCACGCACTCGCATCCCTCCCGCCCAGTCCGCAACCGGACTCACGCGCAGCTCCCTTTAGGAAAGTGACCGGCGCCCACTAGGCCCCCTGTCGCACTGCGCCTGTGCAGACGTCGGACTACACTTCCCAGAAGCCCGCGCCCCACAGGCTCCTCCACTACCAAACGGACCCAAACCTGAGAAGCAGTCACCAGGCTCAGTCTCCCAGGGGTCCCCGCGGCTCCCCGTTCCAGAAGGCGGGGTTTTTGGAAGGGCTTGCAGGGGAGCAGGGATGGGATGGACAGCGGGAATGGGGGGCCTGGAAGGGGGACGAGAAGGAGAAAACGGTAGAGGGAAGATGGGGAAGGAGGACTGGGAGAAGCTAGAGAACTGATGAGACTGGTGGGTAGGGTCACCCAGGCAGCTCAGCTTGCTCCAGGCGGCCGTCTGGCTTCAGTCTCCTTCCTGGGACCCGCCTGCGACCCTGCGCCAACATCAGCCAGACCGCTTCCAGGGCCCAAGGTCCCGAAAACTCAGCGTTCTGGAACGAACTAGTACGTTTACCAGGTGGGCAAGAGAGCATCCTTTTCTTCCCCTGGATTTATATTAGTTTCAGGTGTGCGACGGTAAAAATTGCTAATTAATTCACCAAACTTCCGCGCGCTCTGGGAAGATCTGTGTCCACCCACCACCACTCCTCCTTTCCCCAGGCTAGGCTGATCCGGCCACCAATCCTGTTTTCCACAGACTACACTGACAGGCCTCTTCAGTCCAGCACTTCCCCACTGCCGCTACTCTGCCCTCTACGCTACTCTGCCCTCTACGGCGCCTTTGCCAGCCTTCTCTTGGTCCCACCTCCAATTAGGTTCCCCTATCCAAGTATCTTGCTAACCTGCAGATGCTCAGTGCCCTATTTCTTACAGCCACCATCTTGCCTGGGGAGGGGGGCGGGCGTCTGCCACCCAGAGCTGGAAGCTCCATACCTGGGGTGGGAGGTTGCGGGGGGGGGGGGGGGCAGGAGCGGGTGGGTAACTGGACTGTGTGCTGAGCTTTCAAAAGGCGCTCCGTTACCAGACAAAGCAGCCCGTCCACTGCCTCGCCTTGGCTGTGTTGGTTCGAATCTCCCGTGGTGGTTTCTCCTGTTCCAGCCCTTTACCCGCTCCCAGCGGTCCTCCCGGCTCTGGGTATCATTAAAGATGCACAAATTCATTTAATTTTCGCAACAAGCTACTTTTCAGATGAGGACAGTGATACAGACGAGGAAGGTCAAAGGAGAGGAAAATGGGGGAGCTGGGCTGGCAAAGAGGCCTCCTGGCTGGGGAACTCTTACACCATGAACCACAAAGCCATGTGCCAAAGGATTTGCTGAATGACCAGAAAAAGGCAAACAGCAGCCGGCTTAGGTAGTGATTAATGATTTCTCCCCTCCCTCCCTCCTCACTCGAGGATGTTTTATTGATTTGAGAGATTGAGAGAGAGAGAACCTACTGTTAGATAGCAATACTGATATGACAGCCTCAGTGCAAGTTCCAGGTATGGAGTTGGTTTGGGGGACAATACAAGGAATGGAGTGTGGGCTCCCACTCTGAACTGGGCTGGTATCCCATTCATTAGGGCGCTCCACCCTTATGACCTAATCACCTCCAAAAGACCCCACTTCCTAATACCAGCACCTTGGGAATTAGGTTTCATCACGTGAACCTGGGATGGGGGAACATCCTGTTCCCAGCACTGTCCCTGTGTAACAGTGGTTACTCTGGCCTTGGTGCTCACCTTGCTCTGGGGGCTGGCTTCCTCTTTACCTATGGACCCACCTGGATTATCTACACCAGCTGAGTAGACCCTTTCCCTTATCAGGCCTCTTTCCAAAATCTTCCAAGTCTCAGAGCTGGGGCCTGTGTTCCAGAAGCAGCTGTCCCCTCTGAATTCAGCATTGCATGATCTCCAGAGGCAGAGATGTGGCAAGAGCATACGAGGGGGAGACAGACTTTCCTCCTATCCTTAGGACCAGGAGCCCAGGGTAAGAGTCCAGCTGGTACCCAATTTTCACATGTTCTGTCTCTCTCTCTGCTCCGTCCCTCCTTCTGAAAATTAGATTCTGATATTTTTTTTTCCTTTGTCACTTTCTGGAAGTCTGGAATGATAGGCAACTTTTTGTGCATTTAGCTACTTACAAAATAATTCATGCATTTAAAAAGATTCCTTTGTTACTTCGTCTGACTCTTGTTCTCAATGTCTTTGTTCTTGTTCTGCTTATTGAAGTAACATTTTCAGGAAATCTATATTTTTGTTCTAGGAAGGAAATACTCAGATTTTAAAAAATAAATCATTTCAACTAATAAGTTTACATAATTGATTGAGTTTATGGACCCCAACAAAACTTTACATATTTTATGTGTTTTCAAAACAATGTATTCTTTCTAAATTATTTTGATTTTTCAACATTAATATTCATTTTTAAACCTCTTATATCTCTTCAACTTGTTGAGGCACATTTTCTCTCTTAGATCACCTTTAAAATTATTCAGAATTTGATTTCGTATTTCTCCTGAAAACACATTTTAAAACATTAGTGAGATACTAAAAACTCAGAAATACTGGGTAAAAAGACATGCTCAGTGGTGTCAGTCACAATTTTTAAATCACAATAACTTTTGGGAACCATTTTCATAATGTTTAGTGGCAAGAAGAACAGTCCACAGATGATCACTTATTGAGTTTATGAGGAGTGTTCCAGAACATTCCATGAGTTCCAAGCTCCCTGGATACAAGGGGCATAAACAGATCGTGTGAAGGCCATGTCTGGCGTGGATGGTGGGAGTTTTTCCTGCTATGATCTAGAAACTTTGATTCCCTCAGCTAATCACATGGCTCCAGTGTCAATATCCAGACCAACTTCCTGTAAAGGTCAGTCCTTCTGGGGTAAATTGCCAGCAACATTTCTCTGTTGTCACAACTTCTTTCAGTAGTAGCTCTGGAGTCTCTCACTTTTTATAAGGATACCAGTCCTGTCAAGTTAGCAACCCACTCTTACCGCTTCATTGAACTTTAATCCCCAACTTAAAGGCTCTATTCTACCCTGGCTGGCGTAGCTCAGTGGATTGAGCACGGGCTGCGAACCAAATTGTCCCAGGTTCAATTCCCAGTCAGGGTACTTGCCTGGGTTGCAGGCCATGACCCCCAGCAACTGCACATTGATGTTTCTCTCTCTCTTTCTTCCTCCCTTACCTCTTTAAAAATAAATAAATAAAATCTTTTTAAAAAAGGCCCTATTTCTAAACATTGGGGTTGAAGGCTTCAACATATGAATTTTTGGGGTGGGGATAGCAACCCCTCTACAACTAAACATGGAATCAACAACATCCCACTTTAGCAACCAATGAAATGATACTCTCAGTTTGGTTTTGAGCTTGGTTTTGAGCAATTTTGTTTCAAGAGAGAGGAATGGGGGGAGAGAGAGAAACATCAACTTGTTCCACTTATGTATTCATTAGTTGATTCTTGTATGTGCCCTAACTAGGGATCAAACCTGCAATCTTGGTGTATTGGGACAAGGCTCTAACCAACTGAGCTACACAGCCAGGGCTTGAACAATCTTAACAATATAACTTCAAACATTGTAAGACATCTTTCAACAATATACAAAAACCTTAGTTGAACTTTTTTGCCTTGATATGAAAAGTTGATAAACTGAGTTTTAAATTACCCAAAGCAATTGGATACCAGCATCAAGTATTTTCTTTGGACTAGCATTCCTCTTCCTCTTAAAATGGTCATTATGAGGACTGTACACCTCTGTTCTGTCAGGAGACTGTAACTAATAATAATTCACAGGATGTTTGCTCAGTGCTCACACTTTGAGCTGTTATTTTCCTATGCCAGAAAAGAAACAGGAGTCTCACTTGCCCCATCTCACCCCAAAACAATCCATAACACCTCACATTTTCTGAGGATCCTATTGCCTATTACTCAATCTCTACACCAAATCATTAGTTAAGTTTGTTTGATGGCAGGAAAAATGGGCAGTTAGAAGGATAATGAGTAGCCTGAGAGATTACAGCCTTAGAAAGCACAATACCTAGGGTGGCTCCAAGGATCACCCCCTTCAAGGTGTTGCCACTGGACAACACAGATCCAACTGCATTCAAACCCCAGAGAATTTGGTCAGCCAGGTTCGTCAGAACCATATGGCAGGGATGGCCAGTTCATCAAAGGATAAGAGATGCTATAGTCAAAAGGAGGCAAAGAACATTGGCAGGAAAATCTCAGATATTCCACACAACAACATCTTCATGGATATGTCCCCTAAAGCAAGGGACATAAAGGAAAGAATAAACAAATGGGACCTCATCAAATTAAAAACCTTCTGCATGGCTAAAGAAGACAGCATTAAAATGAAAAGAGAGCCAACCGTATGGGAAAACATATTTGCCAATGACACCTTGGACAAGGGCTTGATCTCCAAAATATATAAAGAACTCACACGACTCCACTCCAGGAAGGAAAAAAAAATTAAAAGTGGACAAAAGATTTGAACAGACATTTCTCCAAGGAGGACATACAGAGGGCCCAGAGACACATGAAAAGATGCTCAGCCTCACTAGCCATCAGAGAGATGCAAATTAAAACCACAATGATATACCACTTCACACTGGTCAGAATGGCCATCATAAACAAATCAGCAAACAACAAGTGTTGGAGAGGATGTGGAGAAAAGGGAACCCTAGTGCACTGTTGGTGGGAATGCAGACTGGTGCAGCCACTATGGGAAACAGCACGGAATTTCCTCAGAAAACTGAAAATGGAACTGCCTTTTGACCCAGCAATTCCGCTGCTGGGATTATACCCTAAGAGCCCTGAAACACCAATCCAAAAGAACCTATTCACCCCAATGTTTATAGCAGCACAATTTACAATAGCCAAGTGCTGGAAGCAACCTAAGTGCCCATCAGCAAATGAGTGGATCAAAAAATTATGGTACATTTACACAATGGAATTCTATGCAGCAGAGAGAAAGAAGGAATTTATACCCTTTGCAACAGCATGGATGGAACTGGAGAGCATTATGCTAAGTGAAATAAGCCAGGTGGTGAGGGACAAATACCATATGATCTCACCTTTAACTGGAACATAATCAACAAAAGAAAAAAGCAAACAAAATATAACCAGAGTCATTGAAATTAAGAACAATATATCAACAGCCAGAGGGGAGGAGGGAGAGGACAGTGGGGAGAAGGGTTTTCAGGAACACATGGAGAAAACCAAGGGGGAGGGTGGAAGCAAGGGAGGGAGGTGGGTTTGGAGGGGTTCAGGAGAAAATATGGACAGCTGTAATTGAAGAGCAATAAAATAATTTAAATTTAAAAATACAAATTAAAATTTAAAAAAGGAGGCAAGTAAAACCAGGCAGAGAAAAACAGAAAAGTACATAATTTGGGTTTTATTTTTGATACCACAATTAATGAGTTCATACTAGAATACAGGTCTGAAAATTTTATGTCATTTTGGATAGCACAGTTATCTTTCTATGCCTCTATACACATTTATATTTTTTAAACAAGTGCATAATTCTATCAAACAAATACAATAATTACCATTATCCTGCCTATGATCAGTTCCTGACTCATTTTGGCCATTATACAATTACCTACCTTTGTATACTTTGGTTTCTGAGGAATATTGATTCAAACACTGTACACATATGGCAACTTATATAAGTGACAATGGCATTGTCTTTTCACACATTTACCAAAACTGAGTATTATCACTCTTTTGTGATTTAAAATCAATTTATTGGGGAAAAGTAGATATATCATCACTTTTATTTTACATTTTTCTTATTACTAGTGGTATTGGGTAATTTTCATTAGCTGTTTTTATTTCATCTTGTTTGAACTAGCTGTTAGCTTTGTCCATTTTAATACTGAGTTGCAGATGTATTACTGATTTGATCAGGATTTTCCTTTATTAGTTGCAAATGATTTCTTTCAGCCTCTTGTTTGTCTTATTAACTTTGACTCTGATGTAAACCACATAAAAACCAGCTCCTGGGTTACGTGCAGTGCTTAAGAAGGTATGTTTTAAGCCAAGATTATATTCTAAGTTTGTCTTGTACATTAATATCTTACATATTCATCTTTAATCTTCTAGTGTGCCAGGGATATAACTGTCTCTCCAGAGAGCTAAGTGTCCCACAGCCATCTGATCACTCCGTTTTTCCCAATGCAAAGAAGAATCCTTTTTTTATCATATATAAGGGGTTATATAAAACCTCCACACATTCTGGATGAGCCTGCCCATCTAGCTTCCATGCCAAAGTAAAGAGGGCACCCCAAAGCTCCAGTCCCCTCATATGGCCCTCTATACTGCCGTCAGCGGCAGTCATTATGGAAGCCAAGAGCTCTGGCACTCCAGGTGAGAGTACTCCAGGGGTGGGAGGAACTACTGAAGGACACAGGATTTCTTTCTGGGTGATGAAAATATTCAGAAATTAACTGTGGTGATGGTTACACAACTCTGAACATAAGTCATTGAATTGTATACTTGAAATAGCTGAACTATATGGTATGTGAATTATATATCAGTGAGGTGGTAATTTGGAAAAACAAACAAACAAAAAAAACCCTTCACCAGGCTCTCAACCACTATTGCTAAAGAGTGAACAGACTCTCATGACCCTTGTTAAACCATGAATTCTCTCTTCCTGCACCACTCAAAGTGTCCTAACTATCTGCCTTGGGACTATTGTGACTGTTATCATTACACCTTTTGTGTCCAATAGTTACCTCTCATTCTTCCCTCCCCCCTGCCTCTAATGCCCACATGTTCTGGGGGGTAGTAAGGCATTCCTTTCACAACTTCCTAGCTCCTTCTCTTTTTGAAAAGATTTATTTATTTATTTGTTTAATTTTTTTAGAGAGGGGAAGCGGGGAGAAAGAAGAGAAACATCAATGTGTGGTTGCCTCTTAAGCGCCCCCTACTAGGAACCTGGCCTGCAACCCAGGCATATGCCCTGACTAGGAATCGAACCAGTGACCCTTGGTTCACAGGCTGGCACTAAATCCACTGAGCCACACCAGCCAGGGCCCTAGCCCCTTCTTTAGATTATTTCTCATGATGGTACATATCACATACTTATCACATCATGTGTATTTCTGCTTTTTTCTGTCTTCTCCCATTTGATTCTCCATCCATTTTCCACCCTGCTGTATCCTCAGCACCTAAAACAGTGCCTAGCACATTACTAAGAGCTCAATTAACAAATAATGAGTAATACAATACATTAGCCACATACTAATCTATAATTAGCCACATTGCTATATCATAATTCTATAAGAAGTCAGAACTGGCTTGTCAGCTTAAAAATATATTGGGATTTTGCCTTGGCTGGTGTGGCTCAGTGGATTGAGCACTGGACCGCAAACCAAAGGGTCACCAGTTCAATTCCCACTCTAGGGCACATGCCTGGGTTGCAGGCCAGGTCCCTAGCAGGGGATGTGTGAGAGGCAACCACACATTGATGTTTCTCTTTCTCCCTCCCTTCCCCTCTCTAAAAATAAATAAATAAAATTTAAAAAGTAAGTTAAAGATATATATATGGGATTTTTATTGGAACATCAATGAATTTACATCTCTGGCCAGACTGAGTCTTTCTATAGATACACATCTACTTCTGAAATAAGTTTAACTATGTTTTAACATGTACATTTATAAGCTATTTACAGTGTATGTTTTGTTGCTATCAGTCTTTAGTTTCACACAAGATGGGAAGCTTTATTTTACACTCTAGAACAATATAAGTATCTCAGAAATTGTCTGTGGTGTATTTCTACAGGTCAAGGTGTTGAACTACCTTTTTCAGTTTATTTCATGGCTATAAATCTATTTGTTTTCTAGCTTATTTTTTTTTTTTAAATACTGTCCCTGGCTAGTCCTACATTCTACCAAATGCTTTTGTCCAATTGGCCTAGTTTTACTTAAGTGTCAGGTGAAGAGAGTTCCTCATCAACAATGCTATGTGTCCTCATATTTATTCACGCAGAGGGAGCAGTGAGCCACCATGGTACTGGTGTTTCAGAATCTTTCGATTCAGAATGTGTTTGTCTTTCATACCTGGAGCAGAGTAAAGAGTCCCCTGTCTGCTGTAAAATGTGCAGGTTTCTTAATCCTGAGCTACTGGTTTCGTTTTACTTGTGGCTGAACATGACTGTTAGGCAACCAACCCTAACCTTAACGACACTAATTATATTCTAAGGAGTAAATGGATTATTTAACATAGTCTTCAAAACGTGTTTTGTATTGAAAAGTAACATGAATACAAATTTTTACTTTTAAGAGATTAAGCTGGCTACAGTTTAAATTATGTACTTGAGGACAGCAAAAGGGAAAATGGCAGTAATGCTATTGCAACAATCTTGGACTATGATGATGGGACACAGATTGAGAAAAAGTGGATGGATTCTAGAGGTGTTTGGAGATTGAATCTAGAGGACTTGGTGGTATGGGGGTGAGGAGGAGGGAAGGATTGAGGATGACTCTCCAGTGTGAACTCGCTGATGATGAGCTAGATGTACACTCTGCCTGAAGGCTTTTCCACATGCTTTACATTCATAGGGCCTTTCTCCGGTATGGATTCTCCGATGCAGTGTAAGATGGGCAATCTGGCTGAAGGCTTTGCTGCATTCCTGGCACTCATAAGGTTTTTCTCCTGTATGAATTCTTTGATGAAGGATAAGGGATTTACGATGGCTAAAGGCTTTCCCACATATGTTACATTCATAAGGTTTCTCTCCTGTATGACATCTTTGGTGACAAATCAGGGATGCCCTCTGCCTGAATGCCTTTCCACATTCGAGGCATTCGTATGGTCTTTTTCCAGTGTGGAGTCTCTGATGTTGAACAAGATAGGAGCCATCACCAAAGGCCTTTCCACACTCAATGCACTCATAAGGCTTCTCGCCAGTATGAACCCGCTGGTGTTGAACAAGGTGGGCGATTTGACTGAAGGCCTTACTGCATTCCTTACATTCGTAAGGTTTCTCTCCAGTGTGTATTTTCTGATGCTGAGCAAGATGTGCATTCTGGGTGAAGGTTTTGCTGCACTCCTTACATTCATAAGGTTTCTCCCCAGTGTGAACTCTCTGATGATGAGCAAGGTGTGTGCTCTGCCGAAAGGCTTTGCCACAGTCCTTGCATTCATAGGGTTTCTCTCCGGTGTGAACTCTTTGATGCAGAGTAAGAGAGCCACGGTGGCTGAAGGCTTTTTCACAGAGTGCACATTCATAAGGCTTCTCTCCTGTGTGAATTCTCTGATGCACGGTCAGGGATGAGCCGTGGCTAAAAGCCTTCCCACACACGTGGCATTTATAAGGTCTCTCTCCAGTGTGGATTCTCTTATGCTGAATAAGTCCTATATGATCTGTGAAGGCCTTCCCACAATCAATACAGTCAAAGGGTTTCTCCCCAGTGTGATAATATCTCCGATGTCGTATGAGAGAAGCATTCTGCCGGAATGCTTTCCCACAGTCCACACACTCATAGGGTCTTTTTCCAGTGTGAATTCTTCTATGGTGAGCGAGGGATGAACAATCACTAAAGGCCTTCCCACATTCAACACATTCATAGGGTTTCTCTCCAGTGTGGACCCTCTGATGTTGAGCAAGGTGTGCAAGCTGGCTGAAGGCTTTAGTGCACTGACGACACTGATATGGCTTCTCTCCAGTGTGAACTCTCTGATGTTGGATAAGATGAGCATTCTGGCTGAAGGCCTTCCCACATTCAGTACATTCAAAGGGTTTTTCTCCCGTGTGTATTCTCTGATGCTGAGCAAGGTGGGCACTCTGGCTAAAGGCTTTTCCACATTCAATACATTCATAGGGTTTCTCTCCAGTGTGAACTCTTTGATGAAGAATAAGGGTTGAGATTTTGCTGAAAGTTTTCTCACAGTCTTTACATTTCAGAAGTTTCTTTTCTCCATAGACTTGCTTGTGTTCTTTGACAAATGAATGTGTTTTTAAGCTTTCCTTATCTGTGTCAAAATTGCATATTCTCTCTTCAACGGGGAATATGTGTTTTATATAAGATAATGTATTCAGATGAAAAATTGTCCTGGATTTGTTAGAGTGGCCTTTTTTCTCGATAAGTGCCTTTATATGACTGACTGTCTCTTGCCTAAAATGTGGCTGCTGACTTACCAGCTCCCTCTCTAACAGGTCTTCACCCTTCCTGTTTTCCCCTAATGTGGAACATTCAAGGTTATCAGAGCTTGTAAGTCTTCCCATTATCATTACCTGGGATAATTTTTCTTCATAAATGTCCTGGTTTTGAGATAACTCTTTGGTCATCCACATATACTCCAAGTCTGAAAGATATTAAGAAAGCAAATGCCTTCTTTATTTAATTCTAGAAGAATGGAAACTTCCCAAAGGAAAACAGGTGAATCACACACACAGTTACTGAACCCACAGAGGTTAATGTTTTTGACAGCTCTTAGGTGAAGTTAGGCAATGCAATCTAATTTTACATATCTGGAATAAAGCCTCCTTATCTAAGGTATATTATTTCAACATTACTTTTAATTTAAGATTTTATACCAATACTCATAATTGAGATTTTTCTGTAATTTTCTTCCTGGGTGCTATTTTGGCTAAGATTTTGGTATTGAAAGTCATGCTGTCTTTATAAACACATTTTTTCAAAGTTCTTTTTATTCTCTGTCACAAAACACTTTAATCAACATTGACGATATTTTCCCTTAAAGGTTTTATAGTATTTATTTGTGTAACTATTTGGAGTATTTGCTTTTTGTGGGAGGCAGTTCTTAGATAACTCTCTACATTTCTTAAATTGTACCTGGTCTGTTGAAATTCTCTCTCTTGTGTGGTATCAGTTGTGGTCATTTATAATCTAAAATACTATCTATTTAATCTAAGTTTTGTTTTGTTTTTAAATCTTTACCTAAGGTTATATTTTTTTGATTTTAGAGAGAAAGTAAGGGAGAGAAGGGGAAAGAGAGCGAGAGAAAGAGAGACAGAGAAATGTCAGTGTGAGAGAGAAACATTGACTGGTTGCCTCCTATATGCTCTCAACTGAGGATTGAACCCACAACCTAGGTATATGCCTTGACCAGGGATCAAACCCACAATTTCTTGGTGTACGGGATAACATTCCAACCAACTTTGCCACCCAGCCAGGGCAGAAAAGTTTTAAACAAGTTCAGAAAACTATACACAAATTTGTCTAAAGAATTCAGAAATGCTGAGAGTCAGAATGATTATGAGCAAAAATAGGTCAACATAAGTGGAATATAACAGAATTCAGAAAGAGACTATGGAATCTGTACGAAATCAGTAAAGGTACAGGTAGTACAACAAAGCAGTAAAAAACAGAAGAACCACTTTCAAAAATGGAGTTAGAATCAGATGTTTCAATTTGGGAAGGATTCTGAGAGATGTTTTCCAACACGTCTTAGAGGGAAGAAACATTTTACATTCATTAGTTTTTAAAAGATTTTACTTACTTATTTTTAGAGAGGGGGAAGGGAGGAAGAGGGAGAGAAACATCAATGTGCAAGAGATACACAGATTGGTTACCTCTCACATGCCCCCAGCTGGGAACCTGGCCTGTAACCCAGGTATGTGCCAACTGGGGATAGAACCAGCTTGTAGGCTAGCACACAATCCACTGATCCACATCAGCAAGGGCTAAATTTATTATTATTATTTTTTATTTATTGATTTCAGAGAGAGACAGACAGACAGACAGATAGACACTGATTTATTGTTCCACTTATTGTTGCATTCATTGGTTGCTTCTTGTATGTGCCCTGACTATGGATCAAACCTGCAACCTTGGCATATCAGGATGACTCTCCAACCCACTGAGATACCCAGCCAGAGCTTGAGAAAAACATTTTGAGACTAGTTTTCCACCTCTAGTAATCCTGTACTTACCTGGGCACAGGCCTCCTGTCATCTCTCCATTTATCACCCAGGGCTCTTTGCCTTGCTCCAATAAGGAGATCATATCTGGTTTAGACAGGCAAAGACCTGCATATAAGGTAAGAAAATTGGTTATGCTGTGGCTATCCCAGAACTATAACTCAGTTCAAATGGGACTGAGAGAAGAGGGATGTTGTAGGAAAATGCTAATAAAGGCATGTGAGATGACTGAGGTAGAAAGATTCCTATGGGGAGGTGAAAGAGGTAGATACTCTTACCCACTGAAACCAGGTTCTTGTAGTTCTCCAACATCACCTTCTTGTACAATGTCCTTTGAGCAAGATTCAGCCATTTCCACTCATCTTGGGAAAAGACTATGGCCACATCTGTGAAAGTCACTAAATCCTGAAATGACACAAATATAATCTTGCTCAGTCAGTGTTCATGTCTGCACTCAGCTGGCTCTAGGTAAAGGATTATGCTGTCCACACTTTGGGGGTAAAAAAACATGTGTGTAAGTAATTGTACTGTGGGGTCTAACTGATCCAGGTATGGTGGTTAGTTACTAGACAACTTTTCTGCTTAAGGAAAAATAAAAAATATGAGACACACTCTTGTAAATGCTCCAAGTGCATTTACAGTCCTATGAAATTTATGAGCATTTATTTTTTTAAAAGTTGACTGCATTCAAAACAATATCATCAAGTATTAAATTATTTTATCTATTTAGGAGGTCTATCACCTTCCTATGTGGAGAAATTAAATGGCTCTGGGAACATCTGAAGGAAGGATGCTGACATGAACACTGATTTCAATCTACATACATATTCCAAGAAATCTTAGTGTTCTTCAGGTGTTAAGAGGTGTGCTTAAAGAAAATAAAAGGAAAAATGCCTAACAACATTCTTTTATTTTGAAATAACAATATATTTGAATTACAAGAGAAGAGCACATTTGGAAAGTTGTTTTTTGATGATCTGCCAAGAAGTATCAGGAGATCATATGAAGTAAGCACATCAACCAATGTGTGTTTTCTTCTTCCATGGGCTGAATTTTTGAGCCAGCTAGCAAGTGGTACCAATCATCCATCCACTGCATGGGTGCTGGCAAATTTTCCATTCCTTATTCTGTTATTTCACTTATATCAACATCTAAGGATAAAAAGTCAGATTATTTTAAGGAATTCAGACTCTGGCACTGACTAGCTGGGTAATCTTGGCTAAGTTAATTAACTCCCCTGTGCCTTGGTTTATCCACCTGGAAAATGGGAATAATTTTAGCACCTACCTCACAGCAGCACTGTGAAAATTAAATAAAGTTACAGGCTCTGGATGGAGGAGGGATGGGAGAGAAGTTAGAGGAGGAGGAGAACAAAAAGGGGAAACATTTGGTTTAATACTTTAACAAAAGTTTTACTTATATTTTACGTAATTTCAGAATACTACAGCAGTTAAAAACATGGTCTCTAAAGCCCAGACTACCTATGTTCCAAATCCTATTCTGTTCAGTTATCTTAAGTTACTAGCTTTTTTTAAAAAAAAGATTTTATTTATTTATTTTTAGAGAGAGGGGAGTGAGAGAAAGAGAGGGAGAGAAACATCAACATGTGAGAAATACATCACTCAGTTGCCCCTCACACATCCTCAACTGGGGACCTGCACCCCAGGCATGTGCCCTGACCGGGAATTGAACTGGTGACCTTTTAGCTCACAGGCAGCTCTCAATCCACTGAGCCATACCAGCCAGGGCAGAGAAAGTTTTTTTTAAAAGGAAGATTTCTGCCCCAGCTCTCTGAGCATTAGATCCCTTTTCCATTACCTGAGTCTGAACCTAAAGGTTTCTCCTGTAGTTCTTTCTATCTATGCCAATATGTACTTCTGGCTTTTATGCTAGGAGATACAGGGAGGGGGAAAAACAGTAAACATACTACATGTTTGGTGGTACTCCACGTTTTGTGCTTTCCTTCTAATTTACTGCTACTGTTTTCTTTTTAGAAATCCCAAACTGCTGCTCCAGACACCCTTTTCTGGTTCTCCAGCAGCATTCAGTGGGGAAGACAGGGTGGATCGTGCTCAGTCCTTCTCACCCAAAACCAGGACTTGCCCAAATTCAGTGTAAATGATTATTTTTAAAGTTAATATCTCACTGGAAATAAAAATCCTCATGTTCAGTGCTTCTTCTGCATCAAACATCATATTGCAGTTATTCAGCTTATATATGTGTGTATGAAAAACCACATCATGGGCATAGAGGCAAACAGCAGCACATAGAACTAATGCTTATATAGTACTTAGTATGTGCCAGACACTTCTCTACACACTTACAATATACTAACTCATTAATCCTCACAATAGTCCTATAAAGTAGTACTATTATGATTATTTCCATTTTATGATTGAGGAAACTGAAATTAAGGTGATATATGTAGTACATAGTGGATATAGAATTTGAACCCATGTTGTGTGGTTCCAGAGTCCATGTTATTAACCTTTATGCCATACTTTGACACTCTTAAAATGTTTCCCTCACACTAGGATTTTAGGTCATCATAAATTAAAATTTGATTTTCTTTACTCAGAAAATATTAGGATAATGGGATTATCTGTTTATTTTCTGAAATTTGTGGAATCAAACACTTAGAAAAAAGAAAAACAAAGAAGAAAAAAAACATTTCCCTCTGACAACAATAATGTTTTTGTTTAAAATGTTTAAATGCTCTAAGAAGTAAGTTCCCTTGGTAGTACATGTTTTTGGCATTGTATCTGGTAAGAAAAGGTGTTTGGCTTTCATGTAAGTTGCTTCTTGGGACTTTGATAAAAGTTTTTGATATAAAATGAAAGCAATTTTTACTGGTTTAAGTTTTTTTTCTTACATGAGGACTTTTTTTTTTTTAATTGCTTTTAGAGAGAGAAACATGGATGCCAGAGAGAAGCACTGATCAGTGTCCTCCTGTAAGCGCCCAGACTGAGGACCAAACCCACAACCTTTTGATTATGAAACAATGCTCCAACCAACTGAGCCACATTGGCGAGGGCCTAGGTTATCCTTGATCTCCTCCACTTCCTTTAAGAAGCAACTCAGGGATCACTTCCTTAAGGATGACTTGTGATTCAAGTTCTGACAACCTCTCTCCCCAAGGAGGCAAAATGGAGGTAAAATAAAGTAGATTTTCACTTGCCTGACTGTGGCCTGTCACAGAGCTTCACCAGTCCAGAGGAAGGAGCACCTTTCTCTATGCAATCAAAGGTGCTCATGTGGGCTATTAATGACCTTTCTCCACTGCTCCACAGGAAGTCTACTGTCCAGTGCAGTACTAGTTACACTGTATAAATAAATGGTTGCTGACTTTTCATTTCTTCAACAGATGGCAAGCTCTCTGAGAGCCAGGAAGTAGGCAGATCCCCAGTTCCTTCTCAAATATCCTCAAAAGACTTTCTACATAGTCATATTCTTACAAAAAGACAATGCAAGAGAAGGGGCCAGGTGGGTCACTTTTTGAATGAAGAATAAACACCAAATAGGAAGAGGAGGAAGCTCTGAGATGACACTGGGCTATGAGTCTTTCCCTGTGACCACACTACTCATCAGAAAGGGAGAAAATAGAAACCAGGCCCCAGGGTGCAACTATTAGGCAGGCAATTTTCAGAATGAAATATTACCAAATCCTGAAAAGCAAAACTATTATAAGGAGAAAAGAGGGTATACTAACTCACCAGGGACATGGCTTTAAGTTCAATTCCCATCACCCCCTCCTCTTCCTGGCTCCTCATTTGAAGGGCTTCACCTGGGAGGGCAGAGCTGGAGGAGGAGAAAGCAGTAGTGAGAGACCGAGGAACACTAAGAATCACAGCCTAGAAACTCCTTCCATCAGCTCCCTCTGTTTTCACCCTCACTCCCACCCAACCTCCCCCTCAGTCCAGGCACTTGCTAGGAGTCCTGTAATTTATAGCTGGGGTTCTCTGCTCTGCTCTGGGTTTTCAGGTTGAGCACTTCTCCCTCTCCCAAAGCCACCCATTAGTTAACAACAGAGATGTATCAGGTGGGCTGCATATATTAATACTCTGATTTAACCTTCACAGTCTTCAATGAAAATAGGAAATACTATCACCACTTCACACATGAAAGCTCTGGGAAGTGAAGTCTTCTGCGCAAGTTGCATGGCTTGTAAATAATGGAGGCTAGTCACCAACCTAGGCCTGCCTGACTCTATCATCCAAGTTATTTGCTCAAGCAGACACCAGAAAACAGAAGATATGCCCCCAGTGCAACTACCTAGCTGGGATTCATATAGATTCTATAAGACTTAGGGAAAAAAAAAACATCTTCCCCAGAAAGAATCTATGTGGCTTGCAGATCACTGGATCAAAAAACTATCAGCGGACCCAGGTTCTCATTTTGCATTGTGACAAATAGTAATTTTTAAAAAGTACTGCCTTGGTCAGGGGGCTGAGTTGGAGCTTTGTCCTGTACACCAAAAGCCTGAGGGCTCGATTCCCGGTTAGGGCACACACCTAGGTTGTGGGTTTGATGTCCCTGTCAGGGCATGTACTAGAGGCAACCAAATGAATTTTGCTCTCACATTGACATTTCTGTCTCCCTTCCCCTCTCTCTAAAATCAGTAAACATATCCTCGGGAGAGGATTAAAAAAATAAAAAAGTCCCTTGTGCCCTCTAAGCCAAGTTTCCTCCATCATGAAAAGTTCTGATGCAATTGTGGTTTCTTTCCTCTAAATACTGCTTTCTGAAAGCATGGTTATAATGATAATATTGGGTTTGCCAAAAAGTCCATTGTTTTTTCTGTAAAGTAAAAAACACATTTTTCACTTTCACCAATAACTTTACTGATTTAGATACTTTGAGTATGTCAACTATCTCCTGCTATTGGCTTCTAGTGGGTAGAGATCAGGGGTGTTGCTAAACATCTTCCAATGCATAAGACAGCCCCACAGCAAAGAATTATTTGGCCAACATGTCAGTAGTACCAAGAAACTTCGCAAACCACTTTTATCATGTTTGATCAGTCACAGCACCTTCTCCATGTACTGCACAAATAGTTTTTGTGTGTTTTAGTTGCATTTTTACCTTTCTTAAAAAAAGTTTATTATTTCTTTTTAGAGTGAGGGAAAGGGAGAAAGAGAGGAAGAGAAACAAAGATGTGTGAGAGAGACATAGATTGGTTGCCTCTCTCATGTCTCCAGCTGGGGACCTGGCCCAGAATCCAGGCATGTGCCCTGTCCAGGAACTGAACTGGCAATTTTTTTGTTCACAGGCCGGTACTCAATCCACTGAACCACACTAGCCAGGGCTTACCTTTTTTGAAATAATAAAGCATAATATGCCAAAAAATATTGCATATCTTCTTCCATTTTCAATATTAAAATGGCTATACAAAAATTCACCAATTTTGGTAACTTTTTTTTATGAATGCTGCTATAACAGCTGTCACAGTACAATCTAACAAAATTGTTTTGAATGAAGGTAAAGACAACTAAGCACTATTAGAGCCATCATATGGAAGAAAATGTAACAGACCTTTTGGCCAACCCTAAGAGGGGACATCTATAGAGCAGTTACTATGTGGCAGGGACTATATCCTGTGTTTACAGGTATGGGTTTACTTAATCCTTCTAACAGTCCTACAAGCTATATAATAGTATCATCTCTATTTTATATAAGAGACACTGGTTCAGAAAATTTAAGGAAATAAAAAATGTAGCCCGACCTGATAGCTCACTTGGTTAGAACAACATCCCAGTATGCCCAGATAATGGGTTCAATTCCTGGTTAGGGCACATTAAAGTATCAACCAATAAATATATAAATATGTGTGGCTTATTTATAAGTCTGGCTGGGTGGTTCAGTTGGTTGGAGGATCATCCTGTATACCAAAAGGTTGTGAGTTGGATTCCCAGCCAGGGCACATACCTAGGTTTCAGGTGCAATCCCTGGTTGGGGCATGTATGGGAGGCAACTGATCGATGTTTCTCTCTCACTTCAATGTTCCTCTTTTTCTCTAAAAAATTAATAAAGATATTCTCGTGTAAGGGTTAAAATATAAATAAATAAATAAATAAATAAAGTGGAACAACAAGTCTGTTTCTTCTTAAAAAGGAGAAAGAAAAAAAACATTCAGTGGAGGTTTTGGGGATCTATATTTTTAAAGTTACTCACCCTCTCAGAGTAGGTTTCAATGGTCAAAAATGGTTGAGAAAACCTACCTTGAGCCCCTGTGGAGGGGATTACATGAGAGCCAGTACAGAGGGAGGAGTATGGAGTCAGTGTGTCCTGGATGGGAATCCTGGCTCCTCTTCCTAGTGGTTATTTGTCCTCGCTGTGCTTCACTGTCCTCATCTGTGAGAAGGAGACAAGGCAGTTTCCACATCACAGGTTCTGAGGTTTGGTGTTAACGCTCCCAAAAGTCTCACAACTGTGTCTGACCCACAGTAAGTGCATGGTAACCATTAGCAACTGTGACTGCATGCAGTGAAAGAAACAGAGAATGTGGCTAAGGCAGCACTGTTTTTTAATTTTAAAAAATATGTTTATTGGCCCTGGCTGGCGTAGCTCAGTGGATTGAACGTGGGCTGCGAACCAAAGTGTCGCAGGTTCGATTCCCAGCCAGGGTATATTCCTGGGTTGCAGGCCATAACCCCCAGCAACCACACATTGATGTTTCTCTCTCTATCTCCCTCCCCTCTCTCTAATAAATAAATAAATAAATAAATAAATAAATAAATAAATAAATAAAAACAAACTTAAAAAAATATGTTTATTGAGTTTACAGAGAGAGGAAGGGGGGACAGAGAGGGAAGGAGGGAGAGAGAAACATCGACTGGCTGCCTTACATATGTGCCCTGACCAGGAATGGAACCCACAGCCTTTCGTTGTACAGGACCAGGGTCTAACCAAATGAGTCACCAGGCAGGGCGAGTAGAACTTTTTCTCCCTTCTACCTTAGTCACTGGGGTCGGGGGTCAGGACACACACAACTGAGAGGGTGGACCGGGAATATTTTTGTTCGTTTCCTAGAAGATAACTGAGCCATAAGACTGGGAACCTCCCCTCCACCCTAGTTCCACCCCACAGTGCAAACAGCACAGGACTCCGACACGTCAATACTGAGGTAATGCCTGAAGAGCGGATGCTCTCTCCCCAGGTCCTTGGCGAGGCCGAAAAATCTGCGAAGGGTGTGTCCGGTTAGGCGACGCCAGGCAAGTCAACATCCTTCCCCAATTTCAGCTCTTCGGAAGGCCTCCAGGAATAGCGCTTCCCGCAGCCACCTGTCACTCTTACCTCAGCACTCAGTCCGTATCGCCAACTGAACGCAGCTAGGTGTTTGGCCGCCCCGGCCTCCGAGGTTTGGCTGACGCTGGCTCCTGGGCAGCTGGGTATGAGGAGAGTGGTCTCCTCCTCAGGGATCCAGCTCGCAGCCACGTTAACCCCTTATGCCAATTCCCACCGTCCCTCACCAGCGGCTGAGACTAGCATCCACCGAGAAAAGCGAGGCCCGTGCTCCCCACCTGTCGCATCCTCCCACACTTAAACCCACGCCCCTTCGCACCCGCACGCACTCGCCAAGCACCGCAGCCCCTCCCGCTCTAGCCTCGGAACCCCCCGCCCCGGATTCGCCCGCAATTCAACCTTACCGGAAGTGGGCGTGCTCTTGCGTAATAACGCCCCCTTGGAAATGTAGTTCTCTTGGAAGGAACTGAGCCGCTCTGAAAGCGGGAAACGAAGTTGTCTAGCACTGTTCCCTTCCCAGTCTAGTGATCAACGCCTTCGGTCCATTACGAGTGACTCCTCTTCGGTAATATAGTTGCCCAGGGGCCTCCCAGGCCCGACCCTGGGTCCCAGAAATACAGTCCCCCTCCACAATACCAGCAAAGCGCGGGGGCTTCTGGGAGCCTGGGACCTGGAAACCCAGGGACGGAGGTGAACTTGGGAAGTGGGGGTTTGTGGCTGCGGCCTTCAGGATAGGGAAAGTGATTTAGACGTCTGCTGTTTTGTGCACTGGTGATTTGTGACACTTGAAGTGTGTGTGGGTAACCTGTCTTAATCAGTTCTCACTTGCTGGTATGTACTCCTCGCACCCCATTTTGTCCCTCTCGGCTAGAAGTCTTGTTTAGGCTTGTGTTCCCACCAACTAAAAAAGTGTTTGGCATGTGTCGGTTAACTACAGGGACTTAAGAGAAATGTATCCTTCCTCGATTTCTTTGTGTGAACATCATGGAGGTACTTACACAAACCTAGATGGTCTAGCCTACTACCCACCTGGTTTGCAATATAGCTTATTTATTGCTCCTAGCCTACAAGCCTGCACAGCATGTTACCCTGCTGAATACTGCAGGCAACTTAACACCATGCTAAGCATTTATATATGTAAAAACAAAAGATATGGTGAAAATACTATATAAAATATTAAAAATGGTACACCATATAGGGCATTTGCCATAAATGGAACTTCCAAGACTGGAAGTTGCCCTTAGGAGAGTGAGGGTGAGTGTTGTGAAGGTCCTGGACGTTACTGTATACTTAGGCTACACTAAATTTCTTAAAAATATTTTTCTATCTTCAAGAATAAATTAATCTGACTTTAGTGTACTTTTCTTACATAAACTTTAATTTTTTAAAAACTTTCCCACTCTTGTATTAACACTTAGCTTAAAAAACACATTGTGCAGCTGCACAAAAATTTTTCTTTACATTCTTATTTTTATAAGCTCTTTCCTATTGAATTTTTTTGCATTTATTTTTAAAACATTTTTGTTAAAAATTAAGACACAAACACATCAACTTAGGCCTACACAAGGCCAGGATCAGCAATATCATTGTCTTCCACTGCTACATCTTGTCCCACTGAAGGGTCTTCAAGGCCAGTAACCCACATGGAGCTGTCATCTATGACAACAATGCCTTCATGAATGCTTCCTGTAGAAGCTGCCTGAGGCTCTTCTTGAGGAGCTGTTACTCTTTTTAGAAATATGTCCATGGTGGTTTGACCTCTTTATTTCATCATAGATTTGCTTGTAAGCAGATAATGCACAATGAACATTCCTCTCTATTAATGAAAACCTTTCTGTGTTGGAGTCCATGTTTTCAAAACTTTAAAGGAACTTGTTGAGATCTGCAAAAGCTTCTGTTAAACCTTTCACAGTGAATTTTCTTGAGGGTTCTCCTTTTTCTTCTGCTGTTTCCTTTTCTCTTGCCTTTTCTTCAGCTATGTGTTGCTGTTCTACTTCCAACAACTCCTCAGTCAGTTCTTTAGGAACCATGTCCAGGAGTTCCTCAATGTGGTCCTCATCCACACCCAGGTTAAAGTTGTTTGCCATCTCAGCCACAGCCCTACTGATTTTGGCAACCTCCTCCTCCTTGTCAAATCCTTTGAATTCCTAGACAAACCTCTTGAGTATCTGCTTCCAGATGCTGCTCCTACACTCCTTGGTGACATCATCCCAAGCTCCAGCAAGGTTCTTGATGCAGTTATAGATGTTGTAATCCTTCCAGAATTGCAGCTGTGTCTTCTCAGTGTCTTCCTCAATTGCAGCAATAGCTTGGGCAAAGGTCCTCCTCAGGTAACAGGCTTTGAAAGCTGCTAAAACTCTTTGCTCCATTGGTTAGATCAAAGAGGTAGTGTTTGGAGGTAGAAACACCACTTTGATATTGGGATGAAGATCACCAATAAAAGGAGGATGTCCAGGAGCACTATCAATAATAAGTGAAAATTTGAAAGTTATGTCATTCTCCAAACACTTCTCCATTTTGCTAGCATAGTAGTTCAGGAGAGCATCTCGGAAGAGAAGCTGGGTCATCCATAACTTCTTATTGCTTCTATAGTACATTGGCAATATGTGCTTATTGATCTGCTTGAAGGCCCTAGGATTCTCGTTGTGCCAGATCACAAAGGGTTTCAGTTTGTAGCATGCAACATTGCCCCCAAGTAAGACTGTTAACCTGTCCCTAAAAGACTTGAAACCTGGGGTTGACTTGGCCTCCTTGTGGATGGAAGTCCTTTGAGGCATCCATTTCTAGAATAGTGAAGTTTCATCCATATTGAATATTTGCTCTGGCAAGTAATTTTCCTCCACCATCAGCTTAGCTAGAGTTTCCAAAAATTCCTCAGCTGTCTTTATGACAGCACTGGCCAACTCACGACTCATGACTCACTTTCACGTTATGTAAGGAACAACAGGTCTTGAATCGCTTAAAGCAGCCACAGCTAGCAGTAAATTCAACACTGTAGTCAGGTCCAGTCTTTTCTTTCAACATCGCAAACAAACTTTTTGCTTTGGTTTTGATCGTCATGGTGCTGAGAGGGATACACTTCTGAGTCTGGTCTTCAATCCAGGTCATGAGAAGTTTCTCCATGACTGATATGGGTCATTTTCAAATTTTTGTTACTTTTGTTGTCTTCAATAAAGCAGATCCTTTAACAGCTTCCATTACTCTGTTCTTGTTTTTCAAGATCATAGCTGTGGTGGAATGGGACATACATGACTGGTGAGCAGTAACCATCACTGATTTTCCACCTTCATAGTCTTTAATCACTTTTAACTTTGTTTCCAGGTCAATCGCTTGATGTGGCCTCTTAATGGCAATATTAGCAGTGGATTTTGTACACTTAGGGGCTATGATGAACAGAACGACATAAGATTAAGTCAAGCACAAGAGAAAATTATGCAATCAAGAGCTATAGTAAACATGAGCTCTATGAGGCTGCTCCAGCATAACACAGCATATTTACCATCATTATCAAGTATCATGTAATATGGATAATGGTATGTACTATACTATAAAGGAATGCAGTACATTTGTTTATACCAATATCATTGTAAACATGTGAATTATGCACTGCATTATTATGTCACTAGGCAACAGAAATTTTTCACCTCCATTATAATCTTATGGGACCACTGTTGAACACGGGGTCCATAGCTGACTAAAATGTCATTATGTGGCACACATAATAAATGCTCAGTTAAAAAAATTTAAAAATTACTTAATTTAGCATTAGCAATCTCAACATGACACAGCTAGAGACTGATCCACCACATGTTACCTAAAAATTAAGGTGCTCTCTCAGACATAACCAATCACTGAAAGCCACACAGTCACATCTGACTCTAGTTTTCCAGGATCCAATTTCCCTCAGACTTCATGGACTCCATAGTGAAGCTAAGTCTAGCCATGATGTGATCTCTAAAAAGTTAAAAATGAAATCTTAGTGTTTATAACATATTGTGGCTGGTTATCGGAGTCAGGCAAAAACAATATCCATACTTTCTATTTTAGAACTAGCATATAAAGACCTTGGAGACCTTCACTCACATCTTCACAACCAGAAAAAACATCCAACAAACTGAAAATAAAAAAGTTGAAACAATCTATCAGGGAATTGAGGGCACAAAGGAAATCACCACCTGAAAATTTGGAAAGTTAGGGGACTGCAGGAAAATCACAGCAAGTATCAGCTGACCTGAAGCAGAAGCTGCTGGAGCCATAAACTACAAATTCTTAGTGAGCAATTTTGATGGATTGTTGGAGGTTTAGTGTGGACTTGATGGGACTTAAAAACTCCTGGGAACCCCCACAAACGCATGGATTTTACCTCCAGAAACTCCACCAACTTCTCAAACTAGGAATCAGGGTATGTGTGTGGGGAAGAACCTCCTTTTGGGGGGTAGGGGGCAGGGAAAAGTAAACATTTTGACATACCTCAGAGCATTCTCCATAACAAAGCCCTGAACTCCAAGGAAAACTAAGTACTAGGGGGTTTTTGAACTGGGTGGAGTGCCAACTGGATAGCTCCAGCCCCTCTAGCCTTCCTGTCTCAGTCAGGGCTGAGAAGCACTCTGAAGGTCATGGCCCAAAGACTTAAGCCCCCTGACCAACTGAGAGTTAAATTTAAGATTACAGAATGCTTCCCTTTCCCAGTGCTTTACTACTACACCAATGGGGCCTCAGTCTAACAATGGATTGCAACAAGCAGCAAGACACACACACACAAAGACTCTTTTTAAGAAGGAGTTATTGGACCCTGGCTGGTGGGACTCAGTGGGTTGAGTGCCAGCCTGCGAACCAAAGGGTTGCCAGTTCGATTCCCAGTCACAGCACATGCCTGGAATGAAGGCCAGGTTCCCAGTAGGGGGTGCACCAGAGGCAACCACACACTGATGTTTCTCTTCCTCTTTCCCTCCCTTCCCCTCTCTCTAAAAATAAATAAAAATCTTTTTTAAAAAAGCAGTTGTTATGAAATCTAAGTATACTGGGGGGGGGCGGGGCAGTGGGAATAAAGCAAAGAAACTAGGAAAAACAAAAACCCCTGGCACCCACAGCTACATCAACCATTAAACACAGCCTAGCTCCTACCCAGATTAACATAAAATTTAACCTGGAACATTAGTCCAACTATCAACAAAAATTACAAGGCATGCACAAGGAAAAAACACAGTATGAAGAGACAAAGCAAACATCAGAAACAGACTCAGATATGGCAGAGATTTTGGACTTTTCATACCTTACCCTCTCTCTAAAAATAAATAAATAAAATCTTAAAAAAAATGAGTTCAAAGATATGTCAATAGGAAATTCCCA